TTACCATCTTTATGCTAATGATTCTCAAATTCTCTTGTCCGACTGTAACCTGTTTACTTACCTCCAGTCTCAAATCTCCATCAGCCTTTCAGACATTTCCCACTGGATGTTTTATAGACATTTTAAACTCAACATGTCTAAAATGGTACTCATTATGTTTCCCTTTAAACCTTCCCCCCTTTCAAACTTTCCAAGGCACCACCCAGTTCCTTAGGTTCACAAGTAGGTGTTGTCTTTGACTCTTTAGTAACCCTCACCTCTCATATCCAGTCTCTTGCCATGATCTATCAGTTTTACCTTTGCATCATCTCTTGAATATACCCTTTTCTCTCCTTTCATACAACTATCATCCTAATGCAAGCCCTCATCTCCTCACACTCCAGTCCAACCTGCCAAAGTTATTTTCTTAAAGCACCAATTCAATCATATCAACACTCTCTCCCACTCAGTAAACGTCAGTGGCTCCCAAACACCTCCAAGATCAAATCTCTTTGGCATTCAAAGCCTTTCACAACCTAGCCTCTTCCTCCTTTTCCAGTCTTCTTATACCTTGCTTCTCCCCTCCTCCTCCCATAATTCACCACCCAGCTGCCCCAGAAAAGATGAAATTTTGAAAAACCATTCGTATAGGTTTCATCTGTTGTGTAACAGAATTAAAGTCATAGTGATTACGTTATTTTCCAAATAAACACACAAAATGCAAATTATAAACCATGAGTGCTGAAGTCTGCTGACAGGTCTTAACAAGCAAGTGTTGGCGGGCAAGTGTGTTGAGCATTGTGGGGAAGTCCAGCATATATCAGCAGGAATATGTGCCTGTATTGACTTGTTTACAATATGATAGTATGGGGCAGCTAGGTGGCTCAGTGGATAGAACATCAGCCCTGGAGTCAGGAGGACCTGAGTTCAAATGTGACCTCAGACACTTCACACTTACCAGCTCTGTGACCTCAGCAAGTCACTTAACCCTATTGCCTAGCCCCCCAAAAGAAAAAATTATACTATACCGGTTATATGACACAATAGTGCATCATCAAAATTTCAATGCAGGAAAAACCCCCACAAATATACAATAAATTACTAAATTTTAGATGTGTCATTTAAAAAAATTATATTTTTTGAAATGATGCAAAAAAAAAAAATGGCTAAAGGGCTAAAGAAAGTAGATTTCCAGGGGGGTGCTAAGTAATTTTTTTTTTCACAGGGAGCTGTAGATCAAATAAGTTTGGGAACCTCCATTCTAGAGGAAACCTTTCTTAATTCTAGTGCCTCCCCACTGTTACTTCCTTTTTATCTTATAAAGCTTATTTGTACATATTTGTTTGCTTGTTGCTCTCATTAGATTACAAGCCCTTCAAGGGCAGGGGCTATCTTTTGCTTTTCTTTGTATCCTTAGCACTTAGTGTAATAGCCTAGCACTTAGTAGATACTTAATAAATGCTTACTAACTGACCTAACATGGTGGATTATGGAAGGGAATAAAGCATAAAAGAACTTGAAAGGTAGGAAGGGGCCAGGTTATAAAGGTCTTTAAAAGCCAGACAGAAATTTAATATTTGACCATAAGGAGCCATAGGAATTTGTTAAGTAGAGGAGTGATATGGTCAGATCTATAATTTAGGAAGCTCACTTGGTCAGCTGTGTGGAACATGGATTAGAGTGGGGAAAGATTTGAGATAGGGAGGCCAGTCAGCACGTATTTACAGTAGTTGAGGAGTGAAGTTATGAAGGCCTGAACCAGGCTGGTAGCAGTGTCAGGGGACAGAACGGGGTGTATTCTTGGCAATGGTTGAATATGGGGGGTGGGGATGAGTGAAAGAGAGTGAGAAACCAAACAACATATAAAGGTTGTGAGCCTGGTTAACTAGAAGTATGGTGATGAAGTATGGATGACTAGAAGTAGAGTAGCCCTCAACAGTAATAGCGGAAGGTTCAGAGGGGAGAATTTGGAGGTCAAGAATGATGAGTTCAACTTTGTACATCTTGACTTTAAGATATCTATAGGACATCCAGTTTGAGATAACCAGTAGGCATTTGGAGATTTGGAGACTGGGGCTAGATAAATGGATTGAGAATCATTTGCACTAAGATGATAATTGAACCTGTGGGAGCTGATGAGATCATCTGGAGAGATAATATAGAGGGGAGAGACCAGGACAGATCCTTGAGGGGTACCCCAAGGGTTATTGGGTATTACTTAGATGAAGATTCAGTAAAGGAGACTGAGAGGTATTGATCTAGATTGTAGGAGAACCAGGAAAAAGCATTGTGGTCAAAGCCTAGAGAGAAGAGAGTATCAGGGATGAAAGGGTGATTAACATAGTTGAAGGCTGTGGAAGGGACAAAAAGGATGAGAACTAAGAAAAGAGATTACTGGTAACTTTAAAGATCATTCACTGGTAACTTTGGAAGGAGCAGTTTTAATTGATTGTTGATGTGATCAGAAGCTAAACTGCAGAGAATTAAAGTGAGAGGAGAGAAAGTGGTTATCACTGATTGTAGATGGTTTGTTCTCAAGGAGGTTAGCCATGAAATTATCAGTGATATCTAGTGAGGATTTGACAGATGAATTTTTTTTTTTTAAAGTTGGGAGAAATATGGACCTAATTGTAAAGGAATCAGACAGTAGATGGAGAAATTGAAGATGTAGTAAGAGAGAAGAAGCAATCTGCTGGAGAACACAGGGTAGAATATGATCAAGAGTTGCTTGTAGAGGAGTTTGGCCTGTCTTGTGAGACAGGGGTAAAGTAGAAGGTAGTGGAGGAAGACATCTGAGTGATATGAGATGAAAAGGAGGGTGGGAGCTCTGGCAAATCGCCTGTTTTTTTTCTCCTAATAAAGTATGAGGTGAAGTTCTCAGCTGAGCGGGTAGGGGAAGGGGTGTCATCAGAAGCTCAGAAGGAGGAATGAAAAAGTTTGGAATAGTCTCAGTGGTGAGTGTGATAGTGAATTGATTAGGAAGGTGTAAAAGAATTGTCTGATTTCAAGGAAAGCCTTGTTGAGATTATGTAACAAATTTGTAGTGGACCCAGTCAGCAAAGTTTCACAGTATTCTCCAGCAGTATATGAAGCTAAGGCAGCAGATGATGGGAGTATTCCAAGGTTGAGATTTGGCAAGGCATGATTAAATTGGTGATAGGATAAGAGGGCAAGGGACCTGAGTATAGTGATAGAGTTCAATGGATTCACAAAAGGAGACAAGATGAGGAAGGGAGAAGAGTGTAGCCAGTGCAGGGGGTGCTGGCTTGGGAAGGAACTGAGGGATGGAGGGATTGGAGGTCATGGTGAGGATGAGAACAGTTAGAGGTGGTAAGGCAGAGGTGAAAGAAAGGTAGTGTTCTTTTGATTTTACATATTTCTCTTTGCATCCATTTATAAAGGTCTTACCATATTTCTGTGAATTCCACATATTGAATATCTGTTACTGTATAATTATTATATTTGTGTCCTATAGTTTTTTTTAATTCATTCCCTCAATTGATGGATACATTGTTTCTAGTTCTTTCCTACTTCAAAAAGTGCTGCTACGAATTTTTTGGTAGACATTGGACCTTTCTTCTATCTTTCACCTCTCTGGGAGTACATGCCTAGTAGTGAAGTCACTGGGTCAAAGGGGTTAGTCACTTTTCTTGTGTAATTTCAGATTGATATCCAGAACCATTGAGACCAATTCAGAGCTCTACTACTAACATGTTATTCTGCTTGTCTTAGCAAGCACAGACTCTGCAACATTGATGGTATTATTTTTGTCATCTTTGCTAGTTTATAGGGTCTTAAGTGAAACTTTAGAGTTGTTTTAATTTTTATTTCTCTTACTATTAGTGACTTTTGGATCACACTTGAAAAAGGTTTGCAGTTCTTCTTTTGAGAACTGTTTGTTCATATCCTTTAACCAATTATGTATTGCAGAATTGCCACTGATTTTTTTTCTTTGAGTTTTTTCTATGACAGACTACTCTCTTCATTAAGAGCTTCAGTTTTTTTAATAGGACATATAGAGAAATTTCTTCCCTTGACAAAGGTTATTGTTATCCCTTTCTTCCACTAGGTGACTTTTGACCTACCTGTTGGCTCATTTCCCTAGGTATTCATGCTGTCATCCTAGCTCTCAAGCTACAGTCAGCAAATCCCAACTAAATGTTAATTGACAGTGTGTTAGCTGAAAGTTTTTTTAAAAATGAATTTATTTTTAGTTTTCAGCAATCACTTCCATAAGCTTTTGAGTTTTAAATTTTTCTCTCTTTCCTTTCCCACCTCCCTCCCCAAGACGGTGTGCAGTCTGATATAGTCTCTACATATACATTCCTATTAAACATATTTTCACATTAGTCATATTGTAAGGAAGAATTAGAACCAATAGGAGGAACCACGTGAAAGAGGAAACAAAACAGAAGAAAAAAAGATAACATCATGAAACTTTTGGAGATGTCTTAGATCCTTGCATTGCTGAGAAAGGGCTAAGTCTATCAAAGTTAATCATTGCACAGCGTGGCTGTTACTGTGTACAATGTTCTCTTGGTTCTGCTCACTTCACTCAGCATCAGTTCATACAAGTCTGAAAGTTTGTTTTTACAATTTACATATGCTATCTTTTTCAAGTTTGATTCTTTTAAGACATTTAGTAAAATGGCAAGAGGTAGATAGAGTTGGAGTTGAGGTACAGGAGACTTCTGGTTTAAATTGTAGTAAGAGGCCTTCAAGTATCCTTAATTGGGTTACCACTGATAGGTTGAGAAGTTAAGGTATTTTGGTCACTTCTGAAAGGTGTTGACTCCTTTTTTTAACTTAAATCTTTTGAGCAGAAGTTTCCTTTATCCTTAATTATTTTAGAGAAATTAGCAATGAAAAAAATCCTACACAAAATATTTGTATGGTAATAATTCATTTAATATTGGATTTCCAAACTAAGGGTGATTTTATAGCTGACACCATTGTTTAAAAAATATTATGTTTTGCTCTAAATAATTTTGTTGTCTCTTCCTTTTCCCTAACTAAATTAGATGTGATGCAGACCCTTCAGCCTTAGCAAACTATGTTGTAGCACTGGTCAAGAAGGACAAACCAGAGAAAGAACTGAAAGCCTTCTGTGCAGATCAACTAGATGTTTTTTTACAAAAAGGTAATTGTTTTATAGTAAATTTTTGACTGTTTAAAAATATTTAAGCTTAAGCCTTAACAGTGAGGTATTGAAAAGATAAGTTTAATAAATAATAAACTATTTGGCGGCTTATAGTATATGTTATACAGATGTGTACATTTATGATAACTCTTTTATTGTGTTAAGAAAGCTGTTTTTCTCTTTTGTTCCTTCTTCCTTTCCTACATCAAAACAGTATTGACTTTAATGCTTTTTAGCAGCTAGGGAATCTCAATAGATTGTAGCTAACTCCCTAGGGGGGGCTTTTTGCCTAGCCGGGCTGCAGCTATGTTTGAGAGAGCTAAGCAAACTACTTCTCCCAGATGCCTAGGTGGAGCTGAGAATAGTTTTATCCTCTTCTGACTGGGGCTCTGGGACATCAAGGGATTAACTGAGATGTTTCCCTCTTTCCCCAAGGCAAGAGCCACACCTGCCTTAAAATCTATGTTGTGCCTTTTGTGTTTTGAATCTTCTAGTTCTCTCTCAGAGTGTGCTGTTAAGCACATACACAATTCTAGGCTGAGTGGGTACAGTATATACATCTTAATTATCAAATTCCTCCAAAATGCAGGAATGAGTATACTTTCATGAATTCTCATCATAATTTTGGTGTGGTAGAATAAAAAAATGAACTGTGTGAATTATTGTCTCATGAAAAACGTTTTAAAAAAGCACACGTAGAGAACATGTTGAAGAAATTTTGTTGGAATAATTACTCAGCAAATTGGTATCACTTATAAAGGTTTTTGAAAGGCACCAGTTGATTTATTTCCTCTTTTGAAGATTCTTTTTGTTTTTGTTTTATGTTAATACTGTTAGCAAGATCTTAAGTGAACATATCCTGCCTGGATTTGTTTTTCCTGTGCTAAACGCTTGGGGTGGGTTATGATTATGTGTGAATTGATGACTGACTCAAGATGATGAAAGAATATTCCCTTCTGTATTATAGGACTTGGAAAATCATTCTTTAAATAGTTTATTTTTGTAAAAACAAATTTATTTGGACAATATTATTAAGACTAGGACTAAAGCAATATGAATAAATTCAGCATATAGTAAAATTTTATAATTTCAGACCAATGGGTAGAGTGATTATATTATAGAATTTTTGAAAAATATTTATTTTACTTTTAAACAAACATTAACTCCTAACTAACTCCTATTTATGTGTTGTTAAGTATATATTTTTCTTGGCCTGCTGTGGTCAATAAATAAAACACCTTTGTATTTGGTATATTTTTGTATGAAAATTATGATACTACAATGTTTGAAATGATTATTTTTTGTGGGGGGGAGGCATTGGGGGTTAAGTGACTTGCTCAGGGTCACACAGCTAGCTAGTAAGTGTCTGAGGCCGGATTTGAACTCAGGTCTTCCTGACTCCAGGGCTGGTGCTCTAAAAATGTTTGAAATGATTCCTGAGATTTTTTTACATTTGCATTAATTGCTCTATTCTACAATACTGACAAATGGATAATAGATTATATTTGTGTGAATTTGTATTTATTAGTCAGAGATCTAGTTGTTGAGGTTATTGTATGTAGAACCCTTGTGAGCAGGCTCTTGTTGGAGAAAAAATATTGTGTAGATACTTTTGTGATGTACATCTGTAACAAAAAAAATCACATTAAGTCAGACTTAACTAGTTTGGAATTTGTCAAAATGGAATTGACATGCAGTTGGTCTTTGTACTATCGTGGAAAATGGTTACTAAGTAGATTAATATTATAGAGAAGATTTCAAGAGAGATTTTTTTTTTACCCACTTGCAAAAATGAGTAAATTTACAATAGATAAAAATGCAATATCACTTTGGAGGCATCTTTTGCTTTTGTAAAACAATGTATAGTAATTGCAGTTTAATCAGAGGCTCTTCTAGGCTTTTATATTCTAATGAGAAATAATTTTTATCTGTTCATTTGAGCAAGACTTCTACTAGGCAGAATTATGTGAAAAAAATAATATAATTGTCTATAGTAAATATATATTAAGTACCTACTACGTGCCAAGCACTATACCAAGCTCTGGAGATACAAATGAAAATAAAGACAGCCCCTGCCCTCATGGAGCTTATTATCTTATGGGGTGAGACAGCATGCTAAAGGAAACTGAAAGTAGGGAGGGAGAAGGGTCCAATCAGAACAGCAGAGGGTACTGATGAGATAGGAGTCCCAAGAAGATTCAGTATTAACAGCACAATGAAATTTCTCAGTGTTGCACTTTCTGGGGAAGGAAGGCCTAAAGGAGAGTTCTAAAGAAGTCAATTGATTAAACTTTCAATAGTTCAGACTTTTTTTTTTTTTTTTTAACTAATTCTGACTAGTATTCCCCACAAGTAAAAATAACTTTATAACAAAGTTTTCCAAAAATAGAATGGATGACCCTTTGTAGAAGTGAGTTTGCAAGATCATCTCTTCAGAAGGAGGTGGGGTCTTGGAGGTAATCTTATCCAAGAGTTCCTAATATAATATATATATGTATAATGTAGCATGTATATTATATTATAAATATATTATTCAGACATGTATACGCACATATATTTGTAGGGAGACAATTATATTCCAATATAATTGGTTTTCTTTGTAATCCTATGTATTTTATGAATTTACAAACATTATTCTGAGAGTGCTTCCATAGGCTTCACCAGATTGCCAAAGAGAAATATGACATGAAAAAGGTTACGAGCTCCTAAATCTAGTCTAACCCCTGTCATTTTACAAATGAGGAAATTCAGGCACAATGAACTTGAAAGACTTGTCCATGGTTGAATAAGTAATAAGAGGCAGAGACTACCTAGGTATTCTGACTCCAAGTCTAGCACTTCTTCCATTGCACCATCCTAACTCTTAGGAGTGTTCAGTCAGAGCACTGATGATCACTTATTAAGGATATTGTAGAGAAGATTCTTCAGTGGCGTAAAGCTGAACTAGATGACCTCTAAGGTCCATTTCATTCTTAAAGAGATTCAGTTAATCTCTTCTGATTAGATTTTAAAAGCTATTGAGCCTTTTAAGAAATAGGTATTTTCTTCATTCCCTTGATATTTGATGGTATAGATTTAAAATTTTTATTACATATTTTTCTTAGAAACTTCAGGTTTTGTGGATAAACTCTTTGAAAGTCTCTATACCAAGAACTACCTTCCTCCATTGGAACCAGTCAAACCAGAGCCAAAACCTACAGTTCAGGAAAAAGAGGAAGTCAAAGAAGAGGTAATGAAAAATTGCTGTTTATTTGCAATTGTTGGGATTGGGGAGACAGATTCTTTTGATGTGTGAATCCTTTCTACTTGTAAGTTATTAGCCTTTTAAAATTGTCTTATCATGCCAGAAACTTCAGTCAATCTCATACTTCCTTGACTTCAAAGAAGTAGAAGTATTTTAGATCTGGCATTCAGAATTCAAAGAAATAACTAGAGTGAACTGAGTTCAAGGGGGTGGTGATGGAAGATGTGGGGTTAGGAGTATTTTATTTGTGTTACTTGCAATATGAAAGTTTACTTCACTATAGTGTTTTGAAGTAAGATGTTAGTGAGTCCTCAAAATATACTTCTTAGGATGTATAGGAAATCCTAAATACCAACAGAGAAATCATTTGCTTTGCTTTTCAACTATGAATCTCTTTAAAGTGCAAATATAGAAGCATCTTAATAGCTTTTTACAGATAGAGATACAGAAATAAAGTTATAGATGCTGCCCTGTTGACCTCTCAGAAGAGGAATAGAGTACATTTCTATAGCCTTTTATATTATGTACAGATAAAATTTCCTTCCCCTTTTCCTTCTTCGCTTATATTTTATACTTTCAGGATACCCAGTTTAGTTTAGCCTGATTCAATTGGTTTACCATTTTTTAAAAAATTGCAACTATACTTAGTTAAGGTCAAATGACACATATGATCTTGCTATCCTCTCTTCTCGGTTCCATCTAATCATGTGTATGATCTCTTCAAACAGAATTCTTGAATATTCCTTCAAATAAAAAAATAGAAACTTTTGTCCCAGATACTTCGAAATACTTGATTTCAGTACTCCAGGCTAAATCTTTTAGATTGTTTACCACTTCTTACAGTATAATCCCCCTGTTCTTTTTTTTTTTTGTTTGTTTTCATTATTTAAAACATTTTTTTATTTTTAGGCAATTGGGTTTGAGTGACTTACCCAGGGTCACACAGCTAGTAAGTGTCAAGTCTTTGGTCTAAGTCCGGATTTGAACTCAGGTCCTCCTGACTTCAGGGCGGGTGCTCTATCCCCTGTTCTTAATAGTCAAACACAAGTGATTTAATCATTAAAGAATAGATTCCAATATAGAAAAAATTTGTTCACCTTGAATTTTAAAAGTTTAATTGTTAAGAAATGTGTCTGTTCTGCTTTTATTTTTCAGAATTAGAACTTTGTAAAACAATACTAGCAGCTTTTAATAATGCTGCCATACCAGACTTTCTATCATTTCTACTGATCTCAAAGATTTTACAAGTGATTTAATCTTATATTAATTATGTGATAGCTTGCATTTAGTAGTCTTAATTCAACAGGAGAACAAGAAAAAGCCTTTAATTGATACTTTGTAACTATTATTCTGAGCTAATTTGTTTTTAGCAAGACACTAATAAAACAATAGTAGCAGATTCAGTCCACTGAAGGTTAATCTCTAGTTTATAGCTTTTCCTCCCTGGTCACTGACTGAACTAGTAATATCATTTACCTCCAAATTGGTCATAAGAGGAACCAGATGAGAGTTTAAATTGATCAATATAGTTCATTCTTTTACTAGAAAAATAAATCCATTCATGTCTTTTATTGTGATGATTTCTGATGGCAACATATTTGTCTAGCTTTTGAGAATTGAATGTAAAGTTGCTCTCATTTATAATTGGCTTCTAATGCACCATATATTTACCGTGGTCAGGTTGAGTTGATAAAGATAGGCAAGACCTGTCTGGTAGTCTAAAAAATATGCAATTTTTTAATATTGTAATTCTTTGTACAGAATCCTAACTAATTCCTTGACCTCCTCCTTCCAGAAGGAGCTGATTCTCCCCTTGATCCTTCTTAGTCAAAGGATATTAGAGATGATACAAGCATTTATTTTATAGTATAATATGTTAAACTATATTATACTTTGTCATATACTATATGCATGTGGTTGTATACTTCATACTGTTATAATATACTATAGTATAACATGTTATATGTTATAATAGTACAATATTAAGATAACAAGCGTCTTATTTGGGTAACAGCAATAATGTTTCACCACTGCTCTAAGATTTTAAGGAAACTTTTTTGTTTTACTGAATTTCTAGTAGCAGTTTTGTAGAATTTACATGAAATAGTATTTAGTTCCATGCATTAATTGATAAGATTACCTAGTTATTTGTTCCATATGACTTCTTTTCTGGGAAAAGGAAAACAACTAAATTTGAAAGCTTCTTAATTTATGATGAGAATTCTCCTCTGCCTCATCCTTTAGATATGCTTTACATGTCCCAAAATGGAGAGTAACAAAATTTTCTTTTGTATGCACACAGTCTGTTTCTATATAATAGAAAATAGTTATTCATGGCTAATATGGAAATATGTTTTGTGTGACTGCACATATAAGAGCTATATAAAATTGTTTGCCTTCTCAAGGAGGGGCAAAGGGAAAGAGGGAGAAAATTTGGAACTTAAAATTTAAAAAAAAACTAATGTTAAAAATTGTTTTTTACATGTAATTGGAAAAATGAAATTTAAAAATTAAAAAAAGAAAATAGTTATTAGTTCCTAAGTTGGATTTTGCATTGTACCAATTCTTCATTTAGTTTTTGGGTAGAGGCAAAAGCACTTAATTGTAGCAGAAATTCAAATAAAGAAATGTAGGCTTGGTGTTTATGACATTTCAATTCATAGAATTCATTGTCTACCCTCATTCTACACTGCTGTTCTAAACTTAATCTTGAATACCTGTTTTTTAAAAAAATTAACATACTGCCTGTATGAGTATTTCTCTAAGAATCTTTTTGCTTTCCTCTGATACCTACTTTTTGTAGTGATTTGTCTTTAGAAATTTGTTAAATTAATGTGTTTGTTAATAATGTGAATATTTCAATATAGGTATTTCATGAGTCAGCAGAAGAAGAGCGAGAAGTCAGAAAAAAGAAATATCCCAGTCCCCAAAAGACCCGTTCAGAATCTAGTGAACGAAGGTTTGTATTTTCTCTTATTAAGGAAACATTGCTAACTCTCCGCCCCCTCTGTTATCTTGTGAACATAAAGCTCAACTTCATTCCTCAGTACTTCTCAGAAAGAAAAAGCTAACCTCCTTTCCTATTTTTGCTGACTCTACCATTCTTGCTTTCTGTTCCTTTTGCCAATAACCACCATTGCATGTTTACCCCAAAATCCCAGAGGTAGAGCTTTTATCCTCCTTTGAGAGTACAGTGAAATGTTCCATTTGATTTGGGAAGCCCAAAATTAGAATTAATCATAGCTTTCTTTATTAATAGGTATTGCTAATTTTCTTCACCAAATAATCTTTAAATGAAAAGCATAGATTCTGTAGAAAAATGTTTGATTTTTAAGCCTGTAGTTTCTTACCTCATTTTGCCCTTCTTCTCCTACCCATTAGTTTTTCCCACCCCTCCTCATATATTGAATTCATCTTACCTAATTCTTTCTCCCCACCCAGGAAGGTTAAAGTAGTGATGTTTTTCCTTGTTTTCACACCTTTGTATAATGGATTGGTAAAACCAGGGGGTGCTCTAAAAGCTCCTTCCAGAAGAGCCCAGAAGTTATGAATTTTGATACAAGGAGAGTAGTTCATAATTTAGACTTGTTTGTAGACTTGGTTTCTGTGGCCAATATATGGCTTATATATCTTTGTATTATAGGACACGTGAGAAAAAAAGAGAAGATGGCAAGTGGAGGGAATATGACAGGTACTACGAGAGAAATGAATTGTATCGTGATAAGTATGACTGGCGAAGAGGCAGGAGTAAAAGCCGTAGTAAAAGCAGAGGATTGAGTCGTAGTCGGAGCCGAAGTAGGGGAAGAAGCAAAGACCGAGATCCAAATAGAAGTGTTGGTGAGTAAATTATATTGTTGCCTAATAATAATTTTCCAGTTATTCATCTTTCTGTCATAAAGAATGTAAAAACTAAATGCATATTTAATATGACTTGCACAGTGTGAAATAGAAATTGTCTCAGAGAAATGTTGTTAACATAGATAAGGGCAGTTATAGGTCTTCTGTATGGCATATCATAGTTAAGGGAATTTAACCAAAATAAAATTATCTTTGTTAAGTATACTCTAATATGTATCTAGGCTACATCATTTTATACAAAGACATTAGTGTAAATGTCCTATGATTATATATACTTTCCTTTTTGCGAGGGCGGGGGGTAAAAGTACTATTATTTGTGTAATTTGATTGATTTTCGTAAGATTATATAAACTTTTTTTAAAAGGGTAACTGCATCACAAACAACTGAGTGAATTCTAAAATTTCAATTTTGCAGCTAATATTTTTTTAAAATTGTTATTTAAATTAGGTTAGTCTAAAATTGGCTTTTAAAAAATTAGGTATATTGGTACTGATTTCATGTTCGACGTCTATAAAGGAAAGGTTTTTATTTGTCAAGATGTAACCAGTTATATAATAGATACTGCTAATTTTATTTGATTTTTTTTTTTTTAGGGAACAGGTTAACAATGAAGGCAATGAAATATGGTAGAATTGATGAACTATTGCAACACCATTTTTTTTTTACTGTTAAACAGAGTTAAATTTTAAATAATAGTGACTGTCAAATGCATAATTGATACATTTGTTTTTGTATTTTGTTTTTCACCCAAAAGCAGAACACAGGGAAAGATCAAAGTTCAAGAGTGAAAGGAATGATTTGGATAATTCCTATGTGCCAGTGTCTGCACCACCCACTAACTCTTCTGACCAGTATTCCTGTGGGGCTCAGTCTATTCCCAGCACCGTTACCGTGATTGCACCTGCTCACCACCCTGAGAACACAACTGAGAGCTGGTCTAATTACTATAACAATCATAGCTCTTCCAATTCTTTTGGTAGAAACCCACCACCAAAGAGGCGATGCAGAGATTATGATGGTAAAATTACCTCTTTCTCGTGTACACAAGCAAATGTAAATGTAAAGCAAATGTTGCCTCAATTATGTAGCTTCTAATTATACTCCAGTCTTTGTTTTGCTTGAAAAGTGACAAAGAAAGCCTCTTTTTAATGAGATTCTTGTTTACTTATTATATTTAAATATTTTGACATGACTTTAAAAACTATATATTTAAGCTTGTTGGAAACTTCCCACAGGCCTTTTTTTTGTTGTTTTTGTTTTTTAACCTAAAATCCTTCCCCCACTCCTGCCCATTTATACATTATAGAATATATTTTACCCCAAAGCCAGGGATATTCTGTATTCTATTTTAGTAATGGAAATTTTGAAGTATACTCAAGTTTTTTGCTTTTTAATTTTTCCTTGACTTTCTACTATTAGTATAGTTTAACCTAGATATCAAGTTTTAGGTTTTAATGAGAATGGTAATTTTAGCACAATATTATAATAATAGATTATTGAAAATAAGGTAGCCAGTTCAAGTTTCTCCTCTTTTTCCACTGAATCATCTATATCTGGATTGCTAATTATTTGCTTGAAATATCTCCCAACTTTTATTAGGATCATATTGAACGTATAGTCTAGTAGTAGCTAATTAGGCATTGATAATCTATTCTGGATCCTGCGACCTTGCAACTTTGATAGTTTACAAATGTACACATGTCTGTTTCCCAGTATGTGAAATAGATAGTACCATCTTGCAATTTAAGATGCCATGGTAATCAACAGAGTAAGTTCAGTAAAATTTTGTGCTCTTTGGAGCGGGGACTATATAAATCAAATGTTAATTTACTTACGTGTAGGTATATTATGAGTTTAAAATAACCTATAATATAATTATCTCTTTTTATTTTTTAGAAAGAGGATTTTGTGTACTTGGTGACCTTTGTCAGTTTGATCATGGGAATGATCCTCTAGTGGTTGATGAAGTTGCTCTACCAAGCATGATCCCTTTCCCACCTCCACCTCCTGGGCTTCCTCCTCCACCACCACCTGGCATATTAATGCCTCCAATGCCAGGACCAGGGCCAGGGCCAGGGCCAGGCCCCGGACCAGGGCCAGGACCAGGCCCCGGACCAGGGCCTGGCCACGGTATGAGACTTCCAGTTCCACAGGGACATGGTCAGCCTCCACCTTCTGTTGTGCTTCCTGTACCGAGTGAGTTTCTTTGTTTTCTCTGTTTTTAGCCTTTCTTAAAAAAAAAAAAAAAAAAAAGATTTCTTCATGAGAGTCTAGTTAGATTTACTCAATTTCACTAGAATTAAGCTATTTTTTGAAAGTATGAAAAAGAAAATTTCTCTAGAATTGGAAATTGCTTACATTCCGATAGAGTGTTTTCCTTTTTTCCAGTGCTCCCTCATAGCAAGCCACTGTTTGTAGAGTTTCCAGTGTAACTAAGTTAAGATTTTCAAAATTAATTGTCTTGACATCAGATGCATAACTATAACTTGCATTCAAATTGAAAATATTTTTAATATCTTAAAGCATTTAAAAATAGCTAAAAAGTTCAAAGTTATTTAACTGGATCCAATTCAATTAATTTAAAATAAGACAGTTACTTTTTTTTAAGCACACTCAAAGTTAGTGTTAAAGAATTTCTAATTTTAGAATGTTTTCATACTTAAGTTTGAACAGAAGTTTCAGTTTATTTGTTGGGTATGGAAATAAATTTATTGGTACTGTTTTAAACAGTGTAATTGTGAATTGCTAGCTGTCAGCAGTCATGCTTTTCTGATTTTTTTTTTTTTGGAAATAGAAATTTTAACAAAAAAATTATCTTAGTGGCATGAGAGGAAGGAGAGAGGCAGGAATATATTGGGTTTATAATTTAAATTTTATGGAGAATGCCATTTTATAATTGAGTGTGGAAATAACAAACTTAAAGCTCTTAGTGTATAGGCATATATAATAAGCATGGAGTCCATTCAGAATGTGATAGTTAAAGGTAGTATTTTAAACACAAAGTACAAAATAGTGTTGGTATGTTGAATATTTTTTTGATATTCTGAAACTACTATGCATCTGTATTTTGTGGTGTCTCTGTAGGACCACCTATAACACAGTCAAACTTGATAAATAACCGTGACCAGCCTGGAACAAGTGCAGTGCCCAATCTTGCACCAGTGGGAGCAAGACTACCTCCTCCTTTACCCCAGAACCTCCTTTATACAGTATCAGAACGTAAGCAAATATCTTAAAACCTATGGCATTTTGGGGTATGCAAGACATATGTTTCCAAATCAGCATTGCTTTTGTCATTACAGTGCTTAATTTTAACTTCAGTGAACAGGTTTGCTTTTTCAGAATATTTTTTTAAAATTGTATCCTGTGCTTACTTTGTGTAATCACATTAAGTTTTATGGCTTTATGCACTTCTTGGAGCTAGAGATGAAATATTTCCTGTTGTGAAGAAATCCTTCTGCTTTAATTAAATAGCATTCTCTAAAAGAACATCATCCAAATATTCCTCCAAAGGAATCTTTTGACTGAGCTCCCAATAAATTACTATGGTAAATAGCCTTTAAACCTTAAGAAGCATGAAAAAAACAGGTGTGGAGATGACATATTGATAATCTGAATTTGTCTACATTGTATGCTAAACTAGATATGTAGTGTTACATAAGTTACATTGCATCCTTCGCTCGCAGGTAGTCTGTAATTAATTTTTACATTTATGTTTAGCGATAAAATTAGTATATTTTCTTTATTTCTTTTCATGTTTTGTTTATGGGTGTTTTTATTTTTTCTAAGGCATTTTTGGGTATTGTTGTTTTCAGAAACATAAAAATACCAACATATGTAGGTAGGATACAAGTGAGATAGAGGAAATGGTAATTTAAGAAGAATAGCTGTAGATATGTCATCCTTTATGTAATTTTGCATGTCATAAAGTTTGTTTACCATATTGAAATATATGTATGTGTGTGTGTACCTATCTACGTATCTACTTCTCTGTCTATCTGTATATCTTTCTGTTATGTCAGATTGAACATGCCCCAAACCAAATGTGTTACTTTCCCTAAACCAGTTTATTATTCCCTGTTTTCATGGATAGTACTATGATTCTCCCAACTACCAGTTACTGAGAATCAAAACTTTGGAGTTATCTTTGATTCTTCCCTCTCTCTTATTTCCTGTACTACTCTAATTCAGACCCACATCACCTCATACTTGGATTATTGCAGCATCTCTTAGCTAAATTTAATGACTATAGGCTTCCTTCCTTTCATCCATACTGTGTACTGCCAGATTAATTTTGCTGAAAGTCATTTTCAGCATGTCATTCCCTTGGTCAGAAGCCTTTATGGTTCCTGTTAGATACCATTTCAAATATTAACTCCTTTGTCTGAGTCAAATTTAAACTAATTTTTCTAGTATTCTAATTTCTCCATAATGAGATCAAACCTTTAGTCAAATAAGTACCTTTATATTAGTTGGCCTAGTCTCCTCAGTATTTCAGGAAAACACCATGTTTATTCTTATTTTTTTTTTCTTCATTCATGTTATTGTCCCAAGCTTGGTATACCTTCACTCATTCCCTTTGCCCATCTAAATTTTATCCTTCCTTCAAGTTGAAGCCCAAGTCACATCTTCTGAGATTCTTTCAATCCTCTTGTTTTCCCTCTCTTCTTTACTCATACATAATTTAAAACCTGTATCACACATTTATATACTTAATTATATATTAAACTGTTCTCTATTTAAGAGGTACAAATCTTGCTTCCCCAAACAGATTGCTAGATCCTTTGGGACAAGGATTGTGATATTTGTGCTTCCCAGTTAGTAGTACAGTGGCGAGTGCTCAGTATGGATGAATTGTTGGTTGATCAGAAAACAAAAAATAATATAGCTGAAACCGAGGGATACATTTTAAGGAAGAGTTTATCCAGGCTCATCCTCACTATTGTATCCACAATTTCGATGGTTCTTTCAAAGTTTCACTTATATAATTTTATGATACATATTGAATTAGCTACTGTGATTATTTTAAAATTATTTTCATTGTACGTTTGGACTTGTGACTTTAAAAAACATTGTCTTTTTCAAAAAGAATGCATTGACAATTTAACTTAAAATTGTGAATCATTCTTTAGAACTACAAGTATTCACAGCACATTAAAGAGTTCAACTATTATATAGTTTGGTTTTTTAGACTGCTGCAATTATACTCATTTCAGTGCCATAGATTTATAAGATTTCTACAGCACTGTTGTGATATTTTGCTTTAGGAAGTGGATGTTTCAGCCAAGATCTGTAAGAAGACAGTTTTGTTTTGTTCCTTGAGTGAGTATTTTTGAAAGCAGTAGTAGTAGTAGTTTAACAGCTGAAAATTTTGAAGTCATGGAATATTTGTATTAAAAAGGAGATGTGAATGGACAGCATGGGAATATTATAGATTCTGATTGTAAAAATTTCTTACATTTTTGATGCATTTCCTTCTCCCATTTTTTCCAAACCTATGGAGAAATTCAAAACTTAGGGTTTTTGTAGAATTTGCCATAAACCTGGGTAACATAAGATTTTTCTGTTCTATAGGGGGAAAATTCTTAAGAATCCTGATCTGAAGCCATTCTACTTTCATACTACCCAGCTACTGAGTTTAATTTAGCACTTGTGTTTCTGAATTGAATGCCTTTCAGGTAGTCAAATGAAATAATATTTTTAGAGTAATTAGCACAGTGCCTGGCAAATAGTAGGTGCTATGTAAATGTTAACTATTATTATTATTATTGTTAGTCTGAATCCTTACAATTTTCTACATGATCCAGCTTTGGATTTTTAACAAGAAGTTCAATTTTTAAAAAGTTACTAAAAAATTTAATTGCTTTCCTAGGAAAAAACCCTTAAGACCTTCATTCAAGCTATAGGAATATATCACCTTTCTTCAGAAGGAAAATAATCAAGCATTTAAAAATAAATTATACTTCTGCCAAACTACAGGCATTGATAGTGGTGGGCAGTCAGATAGACATGATTTGGAAATGGCTATTGCTTAAATTCACATGGCCACTATGAATATTTTATTATGTTCTTCAGAAGTGTTATAAAATATCAGAAACTTAAAGGATATTCATAGTCTGTTCTGTATAACACTAGTGACACTAACATCATATCTCTGAAAAGGATGATCTACTACCTTCAGTTTTAATAATTCAATCTTGTTATTTATTTTTTGTTTTTAAGTCATACATAGAGATGAGGTCACTAATACAGCTTATGATTCTAGGTTTTAGCTTGGTTACTTCCTGTTGTGTATACATTCTTGGTTTTTGATTCTGTGAGAAAGATGTAGTAGAAATAATATTTATTTGGCAAGCTCATTGCCCTCCCCAATATATAGTTCCTCTTACAGATTCCCTTCTGCAGTAATACACTTTGAACTTCTTGGAGAATAATTCTTATGGCCATTAAAGGTGCCAGTGACTTACTAAAGTCGCATAACTAAATTGACATCTTCTAGAAAGTCATCATCAGAACACTTTCTGACAAGAAAATTCTTAACTGTTTTTAAGCTTTTGAGAAACTACATTTATTAGTTTCTCAGGAATTTCCTCATTTAATCCTGCAGGATGTAGATTAGTTTTCTTGAATGTTAAATCTTGATGTCTCTGAAGAATAGTGTCAGGTCTCAGTAGACTCTGTAATCATCAACAGATTGTTTTCTCACCTTGAAATTTTTTCAGAGATACTCATTCACTTAAAAAGTTATTGGCAGCCCGAATACTTTTAATAATGGAGCTCAGCCAATTCTCTGAAAACAGTGGCGTTTTGTCTAAACCATATCCAGGAAAAAACAATGGTAGGAAAATAACCCAAAGTGGATGAAACCTGAACATTTATTGGTACTTACTCATGCTGTCTATAGTTCATATTATATTGACAGAAAATTGGTAGTAGGTGCTCATATTGTTATCTGAACTCATTTAAGGATAATTTCTTACTGATTTGGAACTATCAAGTTTGAGATTATCCTCTGTGCAGACTGCAAGCAAGTTAATCGCATTTTCTAATACATAACCAGCCCCTTTTCAATATTTTTTACATTAAACTGCCAGGCTTTATTTTGTTTAAAGAGATTACTGGAGATTTCAATGAAAAGTGGTCTTTCTTATCAGTTACTTTAAAATACATGTTTCTGATAGTTTATTATTAAAATCTGTACAGCAGAAAGCTGGTTTTTGAGCCATCATTAGAGAATCTTCGTGTTGTCATTGCCTTAAAAGATCTACACTTGGCTTATTTCTATATTCTCACCTCAAAATCATTTCTAACGTTCACTGCTGATATACTTTCTTCCTCGGATTGTTTTTAGCCTACTATCTCTTTTGTATGGTAAATGCCTCTAACAGCAAGAAATTTTCGGGTGAAAATAGTAAGCTGTGCTTAAAAGCATCAACAATTCTTGCCAAATTATTGGAGATTCTTTTTCACTGTTAAGTCCATTTTTTCACTGATATTTTATCATGCAAATTTTGGAAATGTTGGGTTTGAAGTCCAGAATTAAAGCGGTTTAGTTGCTTAATATTGCCTGTTATAGTATAATCATTTCACCTACTTTTTTGAAATTTCATAGTATCATGAATGTAGAGCTAGGAGGGATAAGTCTGTACAGAAGGAAAAGTATGGTGCCTTATATATATTTGTGTTCCTCTACTTAAACTGTAATTGAAGAAGTTGCTGATTTCTATCAGTAGGATGTATTTGGGATTTTAAAAACTTCTCTGTTACTCAGAATTAAGAAAAATAAATTCAGGCAGCGAATGGATAGGGATATCTGTACATCCCTCTTCACCATATTCTATCCTTTGTTACAAACTGAGTGGCTGATATTCAGAGCAAGTCACGTCAAGATTTGAAAATTGCTTTGTATCTTTCATATATCTTATATTGGAGTAGTCAATGGAAAAAAGATGTTCTAGGTATCTGTTCAGGTCTTTTCTCTCAAAATATAACATCTTTTTCCTAATATTATACCATAAGATTTGACTTCATTTCATTCTCCATCATTGCTTCTAAGATATGCAAATCCTAAATATCTCCCCTATGAAATACCAGTTTCTAATAGTCAAATTAATTAGTTTTAAATGCACAATTAAGTGCTTGTACAGTAGACCCTCCTTGTATGGGCTTTAGCTTTCTATTACCTTTCTTAGTGTTAAATCATAGCAACTCTATGCTTTGCATGTGTTTCCTATTTAGTGGGCTAATTTTTACCAGAATATTGACTAAACAGGAAGTTTAGTTTAACTGAGAGAGTAATTTTCTTTTGAGAATTATATAATCCCACTTTAGGGGGGTCAGTTTATTATTTGATTATTCTGTTGTCTGCTCTCAAACTTCAGAGTATCTTTTTATGTGAAATTCATTTTTATTTTGTGACATTCTCCATGTCTGTCTTCATTGGATCTGAAATTTTATGCATCAAATCTCAGGACACTTTCCCCCAAAGAAGCAATCCATTTGTGCTTATTTAACCTTGGATACAGCATCATGTGACTACTTCTAAGCCCTCATTTTTTCATGGAGGACCCCAGAAAAATGGAGACTGAGGAAGAGGGTCTGGTTATAGTCATACCATACAAGTCTTATTTTGTCCCTGTGCACAATGTTGGATCTTTACCAGTTTGCATGCCTTTTCTTAAAATAGATCGTCTCAGCTACATCATTTTCATCTGCCAGTCCCCAATTCTCTTGGCTCAAAGTCTCAAAGAGACTACCTCTGCCAAAAAAAAGCCCTTTACAACTTTCAATCCCAGTTGCCCTCCTATTCTTTCCTCTGTAGGACAGCCCATGTACTCTCGTGACCATGGTGCTACTGCATCTGAGCGACTTCAGTTGGGGACACCGCCTCCTCTTTTGGCAGCTCGTTTGGTGCCACCTCGAAACCTCATGGGATCCTCCATTGGGTACCAAACCTCAGTTTCCAGTCCCACCCCTCTGGTCCCAGGTAAGCTTTGCTACAGATGGCAAGCTGAGCGGTTGAGTCTTTATACCTTACACTGGCCAGCTGTAGTGGATACATACCACTCTCAACTACTGCTTCAAGTTCCTGCTGTTATTGGACCACTTAGACAACTTTATTTTCTCCTCTTCTGCCTTTGGAGTTTATCCCAAGTGGCAGCTAGATGATTAGGCCTCCTGGACCTGTGCATCTTTCATCTCCATTGTTATCTCTATTTATCTTCAGTGCCTTGGTAACAGATCCAGTGGTAGTTCTGTGAACTAGTTTTTCCTTAGGCTGTTGTGAACATAACAGTCTACTTTGTAATCAGTACCATACTATAAGGAAAAAATGTGTCAATCTTTCTATCTTTAAAAGGAGGGAAAAACGGTTTCTGGCTTCTCTATCATTCATAAGGAAGGTGTCCACTTGCATTGTTCTACTAGTTATCCAATAATGGTGTAGTCCTGGGAAGCTCTCTCCTCCTATTGAAGACTATTGTTCACACTTGCATTGATTACTTTGTGAGTAGTTCATGGGATTTTAAAACTTTCTCCATTTATTGTTAGATCTTAGTTCATTATAACTCTCGGAAGGACAGTTTTTTTTTTCTAAATACACTTTGAATTTAGCTAAAGCTAGGATTTTTAGAATTCTAGATGTTCTGAGGCCTAATGGAATAAGAGTATTTGCTTATGCAGTTTCTTTAAAGCAACTCATGAACTCTGGTGGATTTGTTGAGGATATTGAGTGTCAACCGAGAATTTGTCATTTATGGTTTATGATATTGAATCATAGACAAGATTACAAATGTTGCTGCCTTTAATGCTTTAAAATTTTTTTGGTAGAAGAAGAAAAATGGTTCAATTCAAACATTTATGAAGTACCTTTGATGCATAAAACACTGTATGGGGATACAAAAAAGGAAGTTAACCTTAATTTTAAGAACCTTATTATTTCTAAAGTAAAATAGTTCGAAATGCCACCGGACCAAATAATGGTCCCATGATAGGACATATCTAATAAATAAAATTTAATATGTATGTTTTTATTTTGGACATTAAATTTAAATATTAGATCAGTTGTATCTGTTGTCTCAATTGTGCAAAAAAGAAGAATAACCAAGCACAGTAAGTAGAATCAGTGTTACCAATAAACCTTCAAGTTCCGGTTAAACACTGTAATACTTACTGTTTGAAGTTCTTATCCCCCAGATTTCCCTCTAAATACTTACTGACTACAAACATTAAAATAAGGACATTATCTTATTGAGAAACTATAAATAATTACAATCTAGGAATGCCTTGAATAATTTATGATAAAAAAAATGAAAAATGTTTGTTTTTAAAATTTAAATTTGTCTGGTTTAACTTTTTTCCACCTGAACTCAAGTTCATGGACTTAAGCTAGCTTTGAGTTTTACTCCTAAGAGATTGGCAGTTGTGACAAAATGAGTGGTTCACTTTTCATCTAATAAAGTCTTGTATCTAAGTATAAAGACAAATTTTTGATACTTTAGTAGTTTGTCATTAAAAAAAGTTCTTTGCCTTGAAGAAATGAGTGCATCAAAACTCTTAATTACAAATGACTAGTTTGGGAGTAACAGTGAAAGAAAGGCATATTTTTAAAAAAAATTGACCATGTTTAGAAAAATCAAAAGAAGAGGTTTATTAGAATATTAAAGTAACCTAACCTACTTCTTAGGAAGTGTGTACTCAGTGTGATTTAAATTTTAGTATTTCTATGACCTGTATTTTTCCCCATGTTTCTTACAAGTAGAAAGACTCTTTAAAAAAAAAGAAAGAAAAAGAGTTCATGTAATGAAATATGTTGAAAAACGTCTTTTGAAATGCTTGTTTATTTTATGGAGATTATGAATGTCTTAACATTATCTCATTTTTCTTTCCTATAGATACTTATGAGCCAGATGGCTATAACCCAGAAGCTCCTAGTATTACCAGTACTGGTAGATCTCAATACCGACAGTTCTTTTCAAGAACACAGACACAGCGCCCAAATCTCATTGGCCTGACATCTGGTGATATGGATGCAAATCCAAGAGGTTAGAAAATTTTACAAAAATGCTTTAAAGTTATTCTTAAGACCATACACATTGCAAAGTTGAATCTATTACCATTTCTGTTTTTGTATCAGATTTAGGAAACTAAATTCTAAGTGTATTCAAGATGATCATTTTCAAGGGTTCTGTGTAACTACAGTACAAATAATTTTGAATAATTATTGCCCTCATTTCAAACATGTTAAAAGTTAAATATTTAAAGAGGCAAAGATGCATAGTGGATAGAATTGACATTGAAGCCAGGAGCCCACAGATTCAGATCTTGCCTTTCAGAGACTATGTGATGCTCAGCAAGGCACTTAACCTTTCAGTTCTCTAAGCAGCTTTCTAAGATTATAAAATTGAAGAAAAGGTGTCAGCTTGCATTGGTAGAGGGAGTTTCCTCACTTAGGAGATCCTGACGACATTGAAATCACAGGTCTAGTCCTTGTTTATATCCTTATTGTTGATTAAATTGATTTTAATCAATTATATTATTTTTATTTTTATCAAAGGACTAGGAATTGGCAGACTACAGCCAATACTGCCTACTGCCTATTTCTGTATTGCAGTGAGCTAAAAATGGATTTTACGTTTCATTGTTTAAAAATGTAAATGCTTAACCTCCCAGGTGCCAGATTTGGCCCTTGGGCCTCATAGGTTGCTGACCTCTGATTTAGGACATGGTGTTTTCATTTTAAAACTAAAATTTAATCCATAAATTAAATTAAAATCTAACTAAATTAAAGTGTAACCATAAATATTTAGATGATACTTGCTTCTTAACTTTTTATATACAAGTTATCTTTATGTTATTCTCTAACCAAACTGTCTTCCAAAGCAGTAGAGAACTTACACCCAGGAAAAAAGTCTCAAGTCTGATCATTATGTTTATATTGTATGCATTTAAATCAGCCTTCTTTGTTGGATAATTGGTGTAAATTTTTATGTATTTGGTGTGTGCAAAGTTCATGCTTCCCCTTAAACTCATCTTATTTTGCAATGTAATATGGTACAGTGGTTCTTATGTTCAAGGTCACAAGCCTCTAATGGAAGAAGAATAAACCATTATAATTTATTAAGGGCCTCATGGCAGTAACACTCACCATTGGAGAACAGCTCTATTCAATTGCCCTACCTTTTGTGTTTTTGATCTCCCATGTTTCTTGCCCTCTTTGTGTTACTCACAGACCTAGGTGCCTGTGGCTCCTGCCCCACTACTTTTGGTAGAACAAAATTTAGGGGAAGTATAGGTAGAGGATAAATACAGATGATTTTTTTGTTTGTCTTTTATTTTGTCTCTATATAATTTATTATAAGGTTAGCTTATCTCAAAAATATAACCTAATTCTACAATATAAACTTCAACCAATTTGGGAAAGTATATCTTTTCTACATAATAACTTTCATCTTTTTAGCTCAGATTTTCTGTAAGAGCAGAATGATATTAGCTAATGTGATTTTGGTATATATTTATATAGTTCCTTTTATCCTAGAAAGAAAAAAGTGTTGCATGCTACTTATAATACTTTGTAATTTTGATTCTGGATATTTTGATATTTTGATATATACATATTTTGCTTATTTGAGATATACTATACTTGGATATAGTATCAATAATGTGATTTTTTTTTCCTATAGCTGCTAATATTGTCATCCAAACTGAACCACCAGTTCCCGTGTCAATTAATAGCAACATAACCAGAGTAGTGCTTGAACCGGATAGCAGAAAAAGAGCTTTGAGTGGTTTGGAAGCACCTCTCACGAAGAAGCCTTGGATGGGAAAGTAAGACAATCATTTATTCATCAAGAAGTTCTTTTGTTTTCTTTCTTTCTTTCTTTCTTTCTTTTTTTTTTTTTAGGCAATTGGGGTTAAGTGACTTGCGCAAGGTCACACAGCTAGTAAGGGCCTGAGGCCACATTGTTCTGAACTCAGGTCTTCCTGACTCCAGGGCTGGTGCTCTATCTACTTTGCCATCTAGCTGCCCCCATCATTAAGTTCTAATAGATGTTTTCCAATGCCTGTGAGTTTTGTGCATTAAAAGGAATAATCATGCCTTCAAATAGTACTTTTCAAGTTGTTGCACAATATTCTACTGTCTTGGGATCCATCTCTTGGGATTCCATAAGGCAGAATGGTAATGAAAGATGTGTAATTTGCCTCTATTCTTTTCACCTTCCAAGCCCTAGCCAGTATTAGAAATTATTGGGGCATGAATAGAAATGGAGAAAGGTCCCACAACTTCACAAAAATTTAAAAAGGACTATTTTAAAATGATACCTGTGTGCTTGAGTGTTATAAATAGAAGAAATGGTAGATTTCTTGTTGCTTATCCATAGATCTTTTTAGCATCTAGGTTCTAGTGCTAATTCTGCCTTTTTATGTTGAATAGTCCTTACGCTTTATAATTCACTTCTTCATTTCCCCACCTACAAAATTCCCTATCCCTATTGATAGAAGTTACGGGAATTTGGACTGAAGGAAATTCATACATCATCTAGTCCAACTCATCATCTTGCAGATGAGAAAACTGAGTCACAAAGAGATGTGTCTTGCCATTTGAACTCAGGTCTTCTCCCTATGCTTATGTTGGCAGGCATAGTTGAGTTTCTGAAAAAAATGCATATTAGCATAAATACCAAATGACAGTTTTAGCTTATTTGTACTACTTTTACAGCCTTGTCAGCTGGTTATGATATTAATGGTTAAGAGAACAACCCTTTAAGTTATATTCATTAAATTTTCTCCTTTTCAGGCAAGGGAATAACAATCAGAGTAAACAAGGATTCCTAAGAAAGAATCAATATACGAACACCAAATTAGAAGTCAGGAAAATTCCACAGGAACTCAACAATATTACAAAGCTCAATGAGCACTTCAGCAAATTTGGAACTATTGTTAATATTCAGGTAAAACCAAAATCTAGTGGGGGGCATGGGGAGCATGGTTGTTTATGATATTGGTGGGGTGCCTTTACAGTGAGGGTAAGTGTATCATTTTTGTCATTTCATTTTGGCAAACTTTGGTGTGTTCTTAGCTTGAATTTTGCTATCTCTCAAGAGCATGTAGGAGGATTCTTGGCTATGTGTTTGCAGAGTGCAATGTTAACACTGATAAGAGAAGTCTGCATAGACCTGACAGTAAAGACAAGTTCACAGTTCTGTATGGTGCTGGAGATTGGGGTTTTTTTTTCCCCCCCTTTCCAGCTTCTCCCAGGAAGAAATACAGTTGATGATGATATTTTTGACTCAACTATCCAAAATTATTACCTTCTCTGGATAAGTAGCTTTTTGCCAGGCTGTTTTAGCTTTCAATCTAGGCTGTAGAGATTTTAGGCATTTTTAAAAATGTCTTATCTTTCTCTGCTAACCAGGATATCTTGATGTACTGAGTAGCTAGGTCGAGATCTTTGGCTTTCCTTTTTGGCTTAACTAATTCTTTTCATCAAACAGAAAGTATTTTTAATATTGTCTTCTAAGGTCAGATTGTAGATTTAATGTTTTCTTGGCAGCTTGCTGTTTGGAAGTTTGAGTTTTTATTGACCATCATGCTGAATTTGAAGGTGGCTTGAAGGTCAGGAAGAGTTAGGCATTGAATCTTTTACCTCTTTTTAAGTATTGGTAACAAAATAAAGATATAATTTTCTTCTCTGGGAAAACTACAAGAGAATTGGCATAATCACTATTTTGAGATTTTGTATTTAAAGAAAAAGGCATAATTTTAAAAAATTCTTTATTAGAATCAGTAATACTGTTGTTGGCATCAATAAATATGTAAATAACATGTCATTGACAAATTTAAAAAGCCTTTCGAATTAATATTTTTGCTTTCTAAAATGAAAATGAATACCCTACTTTATTTTTTAAAGATAGTGGGTCTATTTAAAAGGATAGTCAGGTGCTTCTTACAACATGCTCACTTTTCATAAACCCCTCTTAAATGCTATATAGATTTATTTATCTGCCCCCTTTTCCACTGACAAGCCTTTATTTAATTTTTCTCCCTTTGTAGGTTGCTTTTAAGGGTGATCCTGAAGCAGCTCTCATCCAATATCTCACTAATGATGAGGCCAGAAAAGCCATTTCCAGCACAGAAGCTGTTCTGAATAACCGTTTTATAAGAGTTCTGTGGCACAGGGAAAATAATGAGCAGCCACCATTACCACCACCAACACAGCAGCTGCTGCTCCAGCAGCAGCAGCAGACATCTCTGTCTCACCTGTCCCAGCAACACCATCATCTCCAGCAACACCTCCATCAGCAGCAAGCACTGGTAGCTCAGTCTCCACCCTCCACAGTGCATGGGGGTATTCAGAAGGTAGGAGTGTACATTATAGCATGGGAGCCTGTGCAATGGTAAAAATTCAAGAAACATTTTCATAGAAATTTAACATCTGTTTATGTGTATTTTTTATATATTCTGTGTATCTATACAGATGATGAACAAACCACAGGCACCAGGTGTGTATGTTCTTAACAAAGTTCCTGTTAAACATCGCCTTGGGCAAGCTAGTGGAAACCAGGGTGATACAGCACACTTATTGAACCAGTCTGGTGGAACCACTGGAGATGATTGCCAGGTATATATTCCCCTGAATCCCTACCTTATTTAGGCTCCATAGTAATACATAAATGAGCAAACATTTAATAAACATCTACTATGCAGGGCACTGTTTTTAGATATTAAGGTTATGAGGATAAAGGTAAGACAGTCCCTGCCCTCCAGGAACTTGTGTTCTACTTTGTGGAATAATAAGAAATGAGGTAATGAATTAATAGATTACACGTTTTTTGTTGCCTCATGCCCAAAATGCCAGGAAGCTTTTAAAAAAATTAATAGGTATTTATTTTCTCTAACCCCTCCCCCCAAAAAGAAAAAAACCATACACACACAAAAACCTCTGTAAAAATATGCATAGGCAAGCAAAATAAATCCACTCTTTGGTCACATCCAGCAATGTTTCTCATTCTGCCTCTTGAGTCCATTATCTCTCTCAGGAGGTGGGTAGCATAGCTCATTATCAGTCCTCTGGAATCATAGTTGGTCATTAAGTTGATTATAATTTTTTTTTAATTCGATATGATTTTATTTTTAGATCCAAATTCTCTTCCTCTCCTGTCTGTCTTCTCCTGGTCCCTTCCACCTGCCCCTTGATTGAGAAAGCAAGAAAAGCACAACTGATTACAAACATATAGTCTAGCAAAACAAATTCATGCATTGATCATGTCCACAAAAAGAACCTCCCCCTAAAACAAAAATAAAAGCCTCAGTCTGTACTCTTGAGTCTGTGACCTCCTTATCTGGAGATGGATACCATGTTTCATCATGAGACCTTTGGAATTATAGTTGGCCATTGTGTTGATCAGAGTTCCTAATCCTTTCAGTTGTTTGTCTTTACAATATTGTTGTATAAATTGGTCTCCTGGTTCTGCTCACTTCACTTTGTATTATTTCATACAAGTCTTCCCAGCTTTCTCGGAAGCTATAGCCTTCATCATTTCTTACAGCACAATGGTAGTCCATCATATTTATGTACTATAACTTGTTCAATGGGAACATGATTTACACATAAAAGGTCATACCATAAGCAAATTAAAAAAGCATAGAATAGTTTATCTGTCAGATTTGTGGATGAGGGAAGAATTTAGGACACAGAAGATAACAGAGAGCATTAGAAAAGGTAAAATAGATAATCTTGATTATATAAAATTAAAAAGTTTTTGCACAAACAAAACCAATACAACCAAAATTATAAGGAAAGCAGAAAATTGGAAAAATGTTTGCAACAGCTATCTCTTATAAAGGCCTCATTTCTCAGATATATAGAACACTGAGTCAAATTTATAAAAATACCAGTCATTCCCCAAATGATGAATGGCCAAAGGATATGAACAGGCAGTCTTCAGACAAAGAAATCAAAACTATCTATAGTGATAGGAAAAAATGCTCTAAATCACTATTGATTAGAGAAATGCAAATTAAAATAACTCTGAGGTACCACCTCACACCTATCAGATCGGCTAATACGACAGAAAAGGAAAATGTTGGGTGTTGGAGGGGATGTGGAAAAACTGGGACACTAATGCACTGTCGGTGGAGTTGTGAACTGATTCAGCCATTCTGGAGAGCAAAAGGGCTACAAAACTGTGCATACCTTTTGATCCAGCAATACCACTGCTAGGTCTATATCCCAAAGACATTAAAAAAAAGGGGATGGGTGAAGGACCTATCTGTACAAAAATTAAATAGCAGCTCTTTTTGTGGTGGCTAAGGTTGGAAATCAAAGTGATGCCCATCAATTAGGGAATGGCCAAAGAAGCTATGGTATGTGATTGTAATGGAATATTACTGTGCTATAAGAAATGACAAGCAAGATGATTTCAGAAAAACCTGGAAAGACTTATATGAACTGATGCTTAGTGAACAGAACCAGAACATTGTACATAATAACAGCAACGTTGTTCAATGAAGAACTGTGAATGACTTAGCTATTTGTCGCAATGCAATGATCTAAGACAGTCCCAAAGGATTAATAATGGAGCATGCTATCCACCTCCAGAGAAAGAACTGATATTGTTTGAATACAGACTGAAGCATGCTATTTTTCAGTTTCTTTCATTTATTTTTCTTTTATTCGACTCTTGTACAAAATGACTAATATGGAAATGTTTTACATAATTAATATGTATAACCGATATCTGATTGCTTACTGTCTCGGGAGAAGGGGAGGGGAGGTAAGGAGGGATAGATTTTGGAACTCACAATTTTAAAATGTTTGAAAATTTAAAAAGAAGAAAAGAAAATTAAATGTTAATGTTAATTTACAAAGATTATACTATATCTTTGCTTTCATGCCAGTTTATGAATTTTTACAAGCTTGGTTTTAAATAAATTTAGCTAGAAAACTATTTTCAATGAAAGGTGGTGGGGGGGTGGGGTGGAGGAGAGAGAATGTGTTTTGAGGTTCTTAGAGTTAGAAATGTTAATGAATTTTTATAAATATAGTTCTAGGATCTCATGCAACAGTGTTCTTATATTTTAGACATTTTCATCATCAGGCCATGCAAAAATGGTGTACAGCTCCACAAACTTAAAGACAACTCCAAAACTTGGTTCAGCATCTAAATCCCATGATGTCCAAGAAGTTCTTAAAAAGAAACAGGTAACAATTTTAGTAGATGTTTTGGAAATTCAGAAGAAAGGTCATTTTTATATTTTGGGGAGTGGGGTTTCCTTTGATCTTATGTTGCAGTATCACTACTAAATTTGGTTATTTAATACTAAAATTCCCATGATTTAGGATTGCAAGTTATATACATTTTTTATTCTTGTAATTAAAAGAAGGAAATTTTTTTTCACTTTCCCATTATGTATTATATAATATATACTTGGAAAGAGAAAAGATAAAAAGGATGTTAAAACAGTTTTCAGTTTTGTTGACATTTTTTGTTTTTTACTTTGCACGTCTTTCCCAATCTAGCCCATTCCTAAAATTAGCCTGTTCCCCCATTGAATCCTCCTTTATAATAAAGGAAAACAATTAAGTAAATCTGACTGACATAGTGGTGAGTCTGGAGTATTCTGTACCTACAGTTCCAACAGAACTCTCTACCTCGATCAGGAAAACCTATAGTCATCACCATCTGTTCCTTAGGACCAAGATGGGTCATTGCATTTAATCTGAGTTCATTTGCCTCTTAATGTTTTTTCATTTACATTATCCTATACATTGGCTCTGTTGTTGGAGGATTCATTTCAGGAGTTAAACCAGCAATTGGATAACACATTTGTTAAAATTATATATTTCCCCAATCTAAAATCAATAACGCTGAATCTTAATGGGAAGGAGAGGCAGAATTGAGTTTGGATTCTGCTTATCCCTATTTTGTCCATGTCTAGTTTAATAGGTTTAGAGAAAGAAAACAGGGCAGTGATGTTTTATGTAAGAGTTAAGGTTGATATGACAGTTTTTACTGTTTAGGTGATGTTTTTGGTTGTTAGATTATATATTTCATAGTCTTATTTGTTTTTAGTTTATATAGTATCTAATTTAAATAATCCTCTCTTTTTAACTACATGTAATACTTAAGTGTATTGAGATTTAATGAAGAAGAATAAATACAGGTTCTGGCAAGCATATTTGGGATATGCCTTGAGAGCTTCTTGCTGTTGATATCATTTTTGAATTACAGGAGCGTTACACGTTTTGAAAACATTTCATGTTAAAAATAATAATTTGGCTTATTCATGAGTAGATGTGATCCTTATATATCTATAAAACAGATTATTTGGAGTGAATAAGTTACATTTACATAAGGCAATTAAAGATTGTTAGGCACTTTCACAAAACAAGAAATACATTTTATTTAGTAACTACAACTATATATATTCAATAGATTTGGTTTTAGAATTACTTCAAATAAAGTATATCTGAAAATTTAACTTTTTTCTAATAAGCTTTGTATTTATTACAATAGAAATTCTTTCTGATGAGAAAGCCTTTCTGGGTAGTGATTCTTTAGAAATATTGTTCCATTACATTTCAGTAGCTAATGTTATCTTAGCTTTTCACCAGGTTATGAAGGGGACCAGGTTGTGAAAAGCTAACTTAGCTTTACTTTATTTATGCAGGAGGCAATGAAGCTACAACAAGATATGAGGAAAAAGAGACAAGAAGTACTAGAGAAACAAATAGAATGTCAAAAGGTAAGAAAATTCATGTTGTGTAGCTATTATATTTTACACTCACACAAATGTTTTCCAAAAAACTTGTTGATATATTTTGTTTTTACTTCACTTTTATTTCCAAATGTGTCTCTCCCCATTCTACTGCAGTGAGTCATCCTTTTTAGCAGAATAAAAAAGAAAAGGGGGAAAAAAGCAGTTTAGAAAAGCTAACCAACACACCCACAGAGTATGGCAATGTATGCAGTGTTCTACATCCATAGCCCCTCACCTCTGTAAGGAAGAGAAGGAGGGTACATACAGTGTTATTTACAAAAGTGTCTGTTCTAGAAAAACATGTTTAATTTTTCAGCACTTAGCTGTATTAGTTTTGTTAAGCTACAAATTTTGAAGATGTATTTAATTATGTAGATGCTGATATCAAAGTTGGAGAAAAACAAGAACATGAAACCAGAAGAAAGAGCAAACATAATGAAGACCTTGAAAGAACTTGGAGAAAAAATCTCACAGTTGAAGGATGAATTAAAAACATCTGCAGCTTCTACACCATCCAAACTGAAGTCAAAGACAGAGGTATCTGTTATTTGAATTTATGAATGTTGACTCTGTATATACTGTTTACATCTTTGATCGGTGATACCCAGTTACCCAGGTTTGAAGTGTCTTGTGTGAGGAACAGCAAAGGAGGCTAGTGTCACTGGACTGCAGAGTACTTGGGAGTAAAAAAAAAGACTAGAAAGGTAGGAAAGGACCAAATGAAGGACTTTAAAAGCCAACCAGAGGATTTTATATTTGATCCTGAGGTAATTGAATGGAAACAGGGAAGGAGAGGGGAAAGGGACAGGGTAATATAGTCAAACATGTGCTTTAGAAAGATTAGTTTGACAACTAAGTGGAGGATGGACTGGATTGGAGAGCCACTTGGGCAAGGAGACTAACCAGCAGACTATTATTGCAGTAGTGCAGGTGTGAAGGAATGAAGACTTACAGAGGTCTGATGACAGTGTCAGAGGAGAGAAGGGGCCATCTGAGAGATGTTATAAAGGTAGAATTGACGGGCCTTGGCAACTGATTGGATATTAGGGGTTAGAAAGATAGTGAGGAGTTGAGCATGACACTTAGGTTGTGAGTTTGGGTGACTGGAAAAAAAGGTAGTGCCCTCAACAGTAATAGGGAAGCAATTGGAAGAGGTAAGGGTTTGGGGAAAAAGATGACACATAAAGTTTGAAATATCCAATAGGCAGTAGGAAATGTGAGACTTGGTGTGAGGCAAGAGGTTAGGGCTATATAAATAGATCTGAGAGTCATCTTAGAGATGATCATTGAGATTGCCAAGTGAAATAGAATAGAAGGAGAAGAGAAGAGGGTGCAGGACAAAGCCTTGTGGGGCATACATAGTTAGTGGGCATGATTTGGATACAGATCCTTCAAAGGAGACTGAGAAGTAGTCAGATGGGTAAGAGGAGAACCAGGAGAAAGCAGTGTCACAAAAATCTAAAGAGAAGTAAGATTCAAGGGGACAATAATGATAGGCAGTGGCAAAGATAGTAAAAATCAAGAAGTATGAGGATTTTAAAAGGTCACTAAATTCAACAATTAAGAGATCACTGGTAATTTTGGAGAGAGCAATTTCAGTTGAATGATGAGGTCAGAAATTAGTCCTTTGTCTTGTTGGTCACATGACCCTGGCCTTTTTAATTTTCAAAAGGTAACACTAGATTTATTGTGACCTAAAGGGTAGTCAGGTGTTATGGACCTACTCATTCTGGTCTTGGAGAGATTTTGTTGGTTTTATCTGTTTTCTTATTTTAAAATATTAAATAATATACCATAACTATGTGGATAGATGGATTGGAGGTTATGTTTATAGGTGAAAAGTGTCAGGCATGAAAATTGAGAATTTTTTTTGTGTGTGTATGTTGTATATACATCTATGTAAAATTTATTTTATTCATGATTGCTCATCTAAAAGGCAAATATTAATTTTAGAATTTCATTTTAAAGAGTAAAAATAGCAACAGAATTGAAAGCTATAAGAAAAGTAAGCATACTCTGAAACAGAATATTTCTAACATAACTTTGTCCTCATCAAGCCATATCTGGAGGATTTTGTTAGGTTCGGGGTACCATGTTTTAGGAAAGATGTAGCCAAGCTGAACCATGCCTAGAGGGAAGTGATGGTAAAAGGAGTAGAAAATATGCCCTTGATGAAAGGAACTATGGATATTTAGCTAAATGAGGAGAATATTTAGAGAGATGTGAAAGCTATGTCAACTGTTTGATGGGTTGTCATGTAACCAAAATTAGACTTGTTTGGGTTGGCCCCAGAGAACTTCATAGAACCAGGAGTGATGGGTGGGAAATAGCAAAGAAATAGATTTAGGCTTAATGTAAGGGAAAGAAACCACTTCCTTTCAATGATTTTTGTCTAGGGCTGAACCAAATGTCTGAGATACCTGCCAGTTTTTGCATTCTGTGATGTTGTAATTACTTTCAAGTTTGAATTATCATTCCTTCGTTCCAGAGCTGTTGACTACTGTATAATTGGAATTACTGATTGGTTTTAGTTCTGTTTAACAAATATTCCAATATGATGTAAGAGAATTATAAAATCTTTTATTTTCTTTAGACATTTACAAAGTGTTCATTTTAAAAGCTTTTAGATTTGAAAAATTTATCAGCGGGAAGGACATTTTTATTATTATTACACATTATTACATACAATTACATATTATTTACAGTTTATATCATGATGCTCTGTACATGGACAAGGCAATTTATGAAAACTATTGAAGTCAGTGCTGTCACATCTTTTAAAAAATTTATTAGTTTTATATAGCCTTTATAAAACAGACATATTCAAATTCTTAGTAGCAAAATGTTATGAATGAGATTTTAAAACATGTTTCATTGTTAATTTTTTAAAGGCACAGAAAGAGCTGCTAGATGCAGAACTAGACTTCCACAAGAGACTATCTTCTGGTGAAGACACAACAGAATTACGGAAAAAACTGAATCAGTTACAGGTTGAGGTGAGATTGGGGAAGAGTTAACTTTTCTACCAAGATAATCTCTCGCTGTATTTTTTCGTTGTGTCATCCTTCTCTGACGATGGATCCAAGATTAGAGATTGTACTGTAACTTCATCTTTTTATTCTTGTTTAGGCTGCTCGTTTGGGTATTTTGCCTGTGGGTCGTGGAAAGACCATGTCTGCTCAAGGCCGAGGAAGAGGCCGAGGCCGTGGAGCAAGAGGAAGGGGCCCATTAAATCACATGGTGGTGGATCACCGCCCCAGAGCAATAACAGTTATGGGCTTCTTTGAGGAGGAGAAAGATGAATTACTTCAGCATTTTTCAGTAAGTTTTTAATGTATGATCAAAATATGAAGACAATTATTCAAGGTTGGGAACAAATTCCAGCTTTCAGTGTTTCTTCATTGCATTCTGTATGTAAACGTTGGATGCTCTTTACATTTGGAAAAATAGTTGTAAAATCATTGATATGGCAATTTCTGTAGTTTATGTTGAAGATCATAGAAGAGTATTTGCTCTTTTATAATTCTATAATACACCACACAAATGCATTTCTTGTGGCATTTTTTTCAGAACATAGTATATTTAGAACATGGGCTACCAGTTAGTTAATTTACAAAAGGGAAATGATCTGCAATAAAATCCAAAATCATCAGGATAAATTGGTTAAGGTAGCAGAATTTGGGCTCCAGGTTCTGTTATGATACATATACTCCAGTGTTTGCTTTTTGACTGTTGTACTAGTGTAAATGTGCTATCAACTAAAATATTTATCATTTATGAGCAGGCAGTATGCCTAGCTACATCTTCCCATTATCCACCAGATGCCTTTTTCACTCTTCAAACTTTTTTTGAAGGAAATATCTCTAGAATTTTTCCAAATGTTGTTACTTGGTAGGGGAGTCATGAATGCAAGATTCCTGCTGTCCCTCCAGTGCATGAATTCCTGCCTGTTCTTTCATTTATGCCCATTACTTTCATGTGTTCTACTTTCAGTTCACACATGGAGATAATAAATTTTTAAAATATAAAGGCTGCTTTACAAAGCAGTATTTCAGGTGCATACATTTGAATTTTTATCATATGGGTCACTTAAGTTCAAAAGTAAATATTTAATTTATTTGTTTGTTTTAATGTTGTTAAGTAAATCTTGCCAAGTACACTGGACAACTAGGCATAATGCTAATCAATACCTTGGCTAAAGTGTTGCTATTTTGTATAAAGCAAAGTTGCCATAAATTTGAACCTTTGCAGAACTTTCCAGTTGCAGTAGCCAGGAAATCCCATGGGTTATAAATTGCACGCTGTATACAGTGTTACTAACAGCAATGTGCTGGAACCAGTTCATGTGGACTCGCATGAGCCAATTGTTAACATGAATTTTGCAAGCCTGTTGTTAAACTCAACCAGTGCTCACTTTAATCAATTCCTGCACGAGTAATGTTAATCATTGCTTTAAAATAATTGGTGTCAACCATAGCAGAGTGTATTTTCCATACGTTCTTAACTACTTTTAAATGATTATGGCTTTAATAATGAATATTTGAAAGCAAACTTAATTGCATTTTATTCTGATGGTGCTAATATGATGCTGGTCAGAAAGACTAAGGTTACTACAAACTTGGCAGAAAATACCCTGAAATTTTCATTTGGCACTGTTTAAGCAGCTAGGTGGTGCAGTGAATAGAGCACTGGACTTGGAATCATCTTCCAGAGTTCAAAGACTCATCTTCCTGAGTTCAAATTTGGCCTGGTAATACACTGACTCCCTGCGCAAGTCACTTAACCCTGTTTGCCTTAGTTCCTCATCTGTAAAATGAGTTGGAGAAGGAAATAGTAAACCACTTCAGTATCTTTGCCAAGAAGACCCCAAATGGGGTAACAGAGAGTCAAACAGGACTGAAATAACTAAACAGCAACAGCAACAACAACAAAAGTCATTGATTGTGATTACCACTTAATGATTCAATATCTGAAATAAGACAAGTCAATCATTGAAATATTTCTGGATAAAATTTATTTTGTTTATCACTAATCTAATAAAAATCAAGCTGAACCAAAAAGTGTAATTAAAGATCTTAAAATTGAAATTGTAAAAACTGGTTGAGTACTAGAACTAAAATGAATAGCTGTGTAGTTTATGAGCTGCTGCTGCTGCTGCTGCTGCATGGCATGCATATCCTGCATTACATATGTATTTTTCTCATTATTATTCTGGTTTGGCAAAGATATTAACTAACATCAATTTGTTGCAAGACTTTGCATTAGTGATTGATACTTTTTGGGAATTTTTGTTACTTTCAACTGCATTGAAGTCAAAATCAACTGGCATTTAGAAAGCACAAAAATTAGTCAAACACAGTGTAAGAACTTTGAAAAATGTAAAGATTGTACTATAAGCATAAATCTCAGGTCAAAGATTTGATGACATTGGATAGGTTTGAAGACATTCCATTTAATAACAATAATAAATTTAGTTCTCTTCCTAGAAATATGTTACTAAAAGATATAATTCAACATTTTTTATCAGACAAATAACAGTGCAAGGATTTTTAATTATTTTGACTTGTTAGAATGTAATTTCTATAGATCGCATGTTAAACTTAATGACAACAAATTTCTTTGGAAAAGAGATTGAACTGCAACTCCATTTGTCAAATCATGGCTGAATTACAGCCAGAGGTTGATTACAGAAGTGTTTGGCAAAAATCAGTGAAAGCATTCTGTGAGAATCAATTGTCTGTATGGAATTTACACTAATTATGTAGTATATTTTATTATTTTTTTAATCATGTGATGCATGGCTTTTATATTAGTAAAATTTATAATATAATTATTTATATTTACACATACATAAATTATATCCCTAAGACTGGTTGGTCAAGAATCAGTACAAAATTGGTTACTAAGGAGTATCTGAGACTTTGTTTTAATCATAGAATAGCCTAATATGTGTTGCCTTGTACTTAGAACAATCATATAAAGTATGTATGTATCTAGAGTCTACAAATATTTACTACAGTCTTAAATTAAGCTTACATTACTATGGGAGTTCTTTAGGGAGAGAAGACAAGGATAAAGTAGAATGACGTTTTAGAAATGAGTACTCTCAACTTTCAAAGCTTTTTGATAGGGTGCTGTCAAAATGGAAGGCTCATTTTAGGTGGAAATATACCTTCTGATTAACAAACCTTGAGTCATGGATATTCACTTTGGAAAGAAGGGGTGTGTGTGTGTGTGTGTGAGAAGGAAAGAGAGAGAGATAACAATCGTAGAAGAAATTTATCTAGTGTGTTAGGATTTCCAAAATGATACATATGTATAGATAGATAAATAGATATAAATATAGATAATATAGATATTATGTATACATACATACAACACACACATGCATGTGTGCGCATTTCATGCACCCTAAAACAATCCTGTGAAGTAGGTATCACAGAAATTATTACCATTTTACAGATGAGGAAATTGAAGTTCAGAGGTTCTATGTGGTTTGCCCATAGTCATAAATATTAAGTATCTGAATTAGAATATGAACACTAGTCTTCCTGATTCTAGTCCTTCCACTGTTCACTATACCATGCTGCTTCTCACAATAAGTATACATATTATAGTGAACATTTTGCCTCAGCTAAATTTAATGTTTAAAATACTATGCTTGCTTAAGGGCACTTGATTGTCCTAGAAAGATAAATTTATCATGAAGTTGACAAATGTACCCATTGGAATTCTCAGTATATTTGTACTGTTTATATGAAAGCTGACTTTGAGCTTTGGAATTCTGTTACTGGAAGTGAAATTATTTTCTGTTGGTTAAAATTGATGACTTTGAAATTATTGCAGTCATCCATTCTAATTATATATCTTATACATTTTTCATTTCACAGAAATTTGGAGATATTGAAGATCTTCAAGAAGAAGAATCACCTTTAAGTGTTGTTTTAACGTACAAGTCTAGGTCAGAAGCTGAAAATGTAAGTAGAGCATGGAACTTTGTCTATGGGAGCATGGCGCAGATTGATTATTTTGTAACAGGTTAGCATGACACAGTAGTTGGCCACATCTAAAACATTGGAACAGAAATAGCTAGTCTTAATCTAAACTGGTTTTTCTTTTGAGAATGCTGGGAATGTGTTGATATCTTATAAGTTAACATGTAACAGATAACTTTCTACCTTTGATTTTTGAAAATTTGCTCGAAATGGAATAACTATTGTGTTTGTTGCCCATATTGTGATGTTTCAGTTCCAAATAACCAAGTTTTGAAGAAGAAAGGAGGTCTTAAGTTTCTAGGAGGAGGAAAAAGCCATTGTATGTGTTATTCCACTAAATATTTCTAATTCCTCCTTATCCCCCATTTTGGAGTTTGTAGGGCTTTATACTAGGCAACTGAATACTGCTGCTATAATTACTGCAGACTTCTCATATAGCGGTTATCCTTTCCTTACGCTTCTCCAAACAGAATTTGACCCATTCTTATCTTCCAGTTTTATTTTTTAAAAAAAGTCTTTGAGAGTGTTCTCCACTAAGAAAATGGTACCTCATGGTTTATCCAAAGAGTTCTTGAACTTTAACATTCATAGAATTATCTTCTCCATAATGTAATTCAACTCTTTGGGTGTGTAGTTTAGGAATGTGTTATATGCTTCTTAAATGTAATGTTCAAGTGTGATCCATTCTAGATGAAGATTTTTATTTTAGTAAGGAAAGCTATTCTATGTTGTTTACATAAATACTGCCATCAGTCTTATTAGGTGAATTTATAGCCTGTGGATAACTTATGTTAGACGAGGAATTATTACCCAGTTTGTACATTCAGATAAAGATCGAGTAGAAAATTTCATTTGTAACTCTTAAAGCTTCATTTAAGTGTGAACTAATATGATAACCATGGCCTAGGCCATGTGACCTAGATCACCTCACTTCCTTTTTGAACCTGAGTATTTTTAATCTGAAAAAGGAGAGAATTGGACTAGGTTACTTAACTGCTTTCTTACTTTAAAAAACTAAATCTAAGACCATGATATATTTCATGTCTAATTATTTAGATTTATATGTAGCATTTTTAATCAAATGTATGTATTGCTGATGTTTATATGTATATTTTTCAGTATTAGTTTGCCAGAATTTTTTAGATGGTTATTGTTTTAAAAATTGAGTCACTATCAGGTATAGTAAGCATTTTTACTTAAGCTGGTAGTAAGAGCATTATTCAGCCAGAACAAGTAAATGTATGGGTACTCACTGATGGTCCCAGCACTAATTTCTAAATCACAGGAAATGCTGAGGAGATTTCCTGGAACTACAGAGGGGTATAGATTTAACATATATGAAATATGGATAGGTTTACTTTATGAACCAGTTTGTACTAAAGGGCCTCAATGCAAGGGAGACTATATTCTTTTTAGGTTCTGACTTAACCTTACATTGAAAAAAGAATACTTTCCCTCTGTTATGTTCTAGCACTGGGCCACAATTCGGAGTGTTGTCCATTCAATTTCTGTAGTTTAACAGTGCCAGCAGTATATGTATAGAGGTAAACAGCCTCTCATTAGTGAATGAAAAATGCTGCTACAGGGTAGATATCCAGGTAAGAAGGCTTGAGTAGAGCAAAAAATTGGGGGTAATTTATTGTCAGTCTGCAGTTTGGGAAAAAGAATAATGAAATGGGCCTCAAAACACCTTTGAATTCTCTCCAATTTATTGACTCATCTCTTCTGTGACTCTAAACAAATCTTTAAATTTCTTCATTATGTTGTCTTTTCTTTAAAATAGCTGGTAATTACTAGAGTACTGTAAAATATAATTGAAAGAAAAACTGCATATGTAGACTATAAATAGCACCAAAACTCACAGCAAGAAGTCAGTTAGAAGAGGCCAGTATGGTACAGGGGAAAAATGCTGGATCCCAAGTCAGAGGACCTGGGTTCAAAACCTGGCTTTACTGCTTAATACTTGTGTGACCATGTCACTTTTCAGTTTCTTTTACCTTCTTTGGGCCTGTAAAATAAGGGAGTTGGACTAGCTAATATGTAAAGGTCCCTTCTAGCCCTAAATCTATGATCTTATAAAATATCTTCCCTCAGGCACTAGATTAGAGACCTAACTTTATTCCTTTCAACCAGACTCTCTTAAAACCTTTTTACTTCAGAGCTGGAAGTCATTTTACTGGAATAAAAGGAATTAGAAAAATACAAGATTGTTTTGCTAATAGGAAATAGAATGATAAAATGTAGATGGGACCGTGGAAATCAGGAAGGACATAGGAAGATACGTATATTCTAAGAATTTATTGTGGATGCAACATTTATAATATTTAAGCTTTTAAAAACTTGCAGATGTCAATTATTCCAAGAGATTATTTGAATCTTAAATCTTGACTATAATGCTAATAGTCCTCTCCATTTTTCTAAACATCATGAAGCGTTAGTTATATAGGACATTTTTTAATAAACAGGATATACAGCATAGCTTTAAGCTTTAATAGCGTAAAACTGCACTAAGAGACACCCTGTATATCTGTTTCTGGCCACTATTTAGCATCTATTTTTAACCGAGTGTCTGAATCATACCTTTGACCTCTAAAAAACACACTATTTAAAGGATTAAGTATTTCGTATATTTGAAAGTATACTTTTTTTTTTTTTGTAAAATACATTGTAGGCTGCAAACCAAGGATCAAAATTCAAAGATCGCAGACTACAGATATCATGGCACAAACCCAAGGTACCATCTATATCCACAGAAACTGAGGAAGAAGAAGCCAAGGAAGAGGTAAATAATTTTAAGAGTTTGAGTAAGGCCTCTTTTTAGTCTTCTTGAATTGGAAGTAAATCTATCATATGTAGAAGAATGGAATTCAGTTCACTTCACCAAGCATTTATTAAGTGTGTCTTATAGGCCTGGAACTATACTAGACATTTGATATACAAAGATAAAAATGAAAGCATCCCTGCTCCCCTTTGCTGCATTAATTGCCCTTTCGCTCATTCCCTCTGACTCACTGGTTGAGGTGAAGGGGATAAAATTCTCCTTGCTCTCCTTTGCCATTTCCAAGTTTCTCTCTGCCTCTGTCACTGAGTAACCTTAACTCCTTTGAGGTTCGCTCAATCCTTATCTACCACCCAATCAAAAATTTTGTAACTCTTGTCTGCTGCCCTCTAGGACACTCCCCTCAGTGAATTCAGTGACTAGCTGACAGTCTTTGTTTTCTCTCCAACATCAAAATACATATAAATACTCCCTTTAGTACCTTTACCTCCGAGTTCCTCAGCTTGCTCATTTCCCATGACCTATTCCTCCATCCTACTTCAGCTGCACACAAAGATAGTTATACCCTTGCTTTTGCCAGGCTCCAAGTGTTCCACTCTGTGTTCATAAACTCTGAAATTTCCTTTTCTGGTGACAGTCGGTTGTCGTTCTACCTCTCCCTTTGTCTGTAACCTCAAACTGTTCTTCATTTTTACTGTGACCTCCAGTCCTTCCACCTTTTATTTCTTTTCCAAGTCATTACCTCTGAACTGGCAACACTCTCCTCACTTCCCGATCTTGACCCCTTACTGAACCGTTTCATCTCTACACTGTCCTTTTCTCTTAAATACCTTGTCCCCTTCTACTGTCATCAGTTTTGCCCTACCAAACCTCAGCTCTAGATCATTCCTACCATCTGCTGCCTTTATTCCTACTCACTTGCTGTTGAATAAAGCTGAAAAAAAAAATCACAAAACCATGTTGACTGGATCCACAACAAATTTATGTTACATAATCTCAACTGGACCTTCATTCCAGGAAGGCAATCCTTTTATACCTCCGTAATTGATTCACTATCCCACTGACCATGTTGGCTTTTCCAAATTTTTTTAATCTCTCCTCAAGCCTTCCATAGGTACCTTTATCCTCTCAGCTGAAAACTTTGCCTTATGTTTCACTGAAAAAATAAGGTCTTTCATCAAGAGCTTCCTTCCCCTTCTCTTCTCCTCCTTAGCTCATATCTTCCAGATTCCTTCTACTATTTCCTCCTTCACCCCTGTCTCGCCTGATGATGTGACCCTTCACCTTGCCAAGGCAAACCCATCTACATGCACAAGTGATCCTATTTCATCCCATCTTCCCTGGCAGATTCTCACTTATCTTCAATCTCTTTCTGACTATTGGCTGCTTCCCTACTGCCTACAAATATACTCATGTCTCCCCCATTCTCAAAAAAACGCTCTTGTGATCCATCAATCCTTACTAGCTATTGTCCAAGTATCTCTTCTTCCTTCTCTGGCTAAGGAGTAAGAGACAATGAGGAGTCAAGGATGGCACTTAGGTTGTGAGCCTGGGGGCCTTGGAGGAAGGTAGTACCCTTAATAACAATAGAAAAGTGAGAAGGAAGGGAGGATTTGGGGGGAATAATAGTGAGTTCTGTTTGGGCCATGTTTAAAATGTTTACAGGATATTGGGTCTTTGAGGTGGCTATCATTTCAAATAGATGACATTTGATCCTCTTCCCGTTGATATTTTCTTCTCTCTAGGTTTTCATGACAGTACTCTGCCCTGGTTCTCTTCAGCCTATCTGACTACTTAGTTTGCTGTGCTGGGTCTTCATCCAGGTCATGACCTATAACCATGGATGTCCCACTCTATTCTGGGTCCTCTTTTCTTCTCCCTCTTTGCCAATCTTATCAGCTCCCATGGATTCAGTTATTGTCTCTGTGCAGATGATTATCAGATCTACTTATTCAGACCTAACCTCTGCTCACCTCCAGACTAGCATCTCCAGCTGAGTATTGTATATCTCGGACTGGATGTCCTGTAAACATCTTAAATTCAACAAAACCAAAACTGAACTCATTATCTTTCCCCTCAAACCCTTTCCTCTTTTTCATTTCCCTGTTATTATTGAGAGTACCACCAGTCACCCAGGCTCACAATCTAGTTGTCATGCTCATCCCCTCATTCTCCCTTATGTCCACTTAGTCACCAAAGCCTGTCAATTTTAGCTTCAAAATATCTCTCATATATAGTCCGTTCTCCTCTGACACTGCCAGTATAGTGGTGTAGGTTTTCATTACCTTACACCTGGGCTATTGCAATAATAGTATGCTGGTTAGTCTGCCTGCTTGAAGTCTCTCTCTACTGTAGTTGTCCACTCTGCTGTCAGAATGATCATCCTAAAATGCAGGTCTAACTGTGTCACCTCCAACTCTCCACTACAGTTACTCAGTAAATTCCAGTGACTCCCTACCATCTCATGGATAAAATATAAAAATCCTCTAGTGTTTAAAACTCTTCATAACCTGGCTACCCCCAACCTTCTTTCGCTTCTCTCCCCTTCTCTCCCCCCCCAACCCCAACACATACACACTGTGATCCAGTGACACTGGCTTCCTTGCTGTTCCTCAAACAAAATACTCTGCCTCCCAACTCTGTTCATTTTCACTGACTGTCCTCCATGCCTGGAATGTTCTCCTTCCTCATCTCTGCCTCCTGGCTTCCTTCCAGATCCCAGCTAAAATCCCACTTTCTACTGGAAACCTTTCGTGGTCCTCCTTTATTGTAGGCCTTTCTTCTATTGCTTATTTCCAATTTATCTTTCATATTGCTTGTTTGTACATAGTTGGTTAAGTATTGTGTCCCCTATTAGGTTGTGAGTTCCACGAGTACAGGGGCTGCCTCTTGCCCTTCTTTGTATACCCAGCACTTAGCATAATACCTTGAACGTAGTAGGTGCTTAATGAATGTTTGTTGATTGGCTGAATGACCCTCCAAGGAATTTAAATTCTTTTGAAGAAAACACTATTAATAACTTAAAACGCATTTATAAGGCAACTGCTATGTGCTAAGCATGAAGAGGCAGTACTGTGCAACAGATCAGTAGTGTCAAACTCAGATAGAAATGGGGGTCACTAAATAATACACAAAGATCTCTGCAGGCCACATATTGACTTAGAAAACCACATATTAACATTATCAGTGTTCTTTTTTATTTATTTTGTTAAGTATTTCCCAGTTACATTTTAACCTGTTTCAAGCCACACTTGAGCATGTTGGGCTGCATGTTTGACATTTCTGTAGTAGATGGAGAGCTGACCTTTGGAGTCAAGAAAAACTAAGAGTCCTTCCTTTGACACATCCTGGCTTGGGCCCTGGCAGGTCACTTAACCTCTCAGTGCTGCAGAATATTTTCCAAGACCATCATTTGAAAATAATGGGCCACTCTCAGTTGTCGAAGGGCATTTCTAATTAAGAATTCCCTATACCAGGGATGTCATAGGTGCATCCCCACGTGCTAGGTGCTACAAGTACACAGATAAAAGTAAAAATGTTCCTGCCCTCAGGGAGCTTATATTCTTGCTGGGGAAGAGAACTTGTCTTCATAGAGGAATATGCAGAGTAGGTATAAGATCATTTTGAGGCAGGCATTAGCAGCTGGGGTATGGGCTCGGATGGGACAGGAAAGGCTTCATGTAGGAAGAATCTTCTCAATGGATCTGGGAAGAAAATTGGGAATTCCAAGATGTGGAGGAATGGATACATCCCAGGGATGAGTACAGATTATACTAGTTAACTGAAAGGTAATCTGCAGAGTGGTAGGCAGAACTGGAGGCACCAGAAAGGCCTGGTAGCAGGTAGTTCTTGAACTGACTCTGGAAAGGCAGATGATGCAGAGAACAATAATAGGTGGGCCAATTTGGCTGGAACACCGAGTGTGTAAAGGGAGCATAATGTGAATCAGCCTGGAAAGAACTTTTGAAGAGTCTTAAGTACCAAACAGGACTGCTTTTCATCCCGAAAACAATAGAGCACCTGGAGCTTTTTAAGAAGGGGAGTAGGATGGTCAGACTTCTGTTCTAGGAATATTATTTTGACAGTTATTTGGAGATTGGATTGGAGAGGGGAGAGACTTGAGGGATCCCGGTGAAGATATTACAATAGTTCAACTGACAGGTGATGAGGTCCTGAATGAGTGGTGGCCTTGTGACTGAAGAGAATAGATGTAATAGATATATTATGGAGGAGGAATTGACAGGAGTTGGCAACTGATTGTATGGGATGGGGGGAAGTGGGGAATAAGCAAGAGTGAAGGTTAGAAAGCTCTTCAGAGTTATAACTAAAATCATAATGATGTTCTCAGTAGTAGTAGAGAAGTTAAGAGAGATGAGTTTGGGAAAATTCGTTTCATTTTAGATATGTTGAATTTAAGAAGCCTATAGGACATCCAGGTACAGCTGTCCCTCAGGCAGTTATGATAAAGGATTATAGTTGAGAGATGAGGGAGTCATCTACAGATGATGTGTATAGATAGGTATAAGCTTGAAAGTTTAAAATCTTGTTGAAGAATTAAAAGCAATTTTCAATGAGAATATGTGCACATGTAACTTTAAAAAGTCATCTTGGGAATTTTTTTCTTAACTTGTTTCAGATAACATTGCTTGATCTTTGTTTTTGTCCTCCCTGGGTTGCTGAAACTGTTAAAGTTAACCTTTACTGGTGGTAAATGAGAACATTGATTCTGTGGATAAAATTAAACTTAGACATAATCTTAAAAACCCATTTTAGCTAGTTATTTGAACTTCCTCTTTGCTTTTAAGTAATAAAATTTATGGCTTTTAATTTCCCCCTTCCCCTCAGCCCACTGGTGGAAATGGTGGGAAGCAGCATAATTGCTGCAGGTTTGGAGATGGGAGATAAAAGGAAGAGAAACCAGTAGTTAGCATGATCCACACACAAAACAATCGGCTTCTAAAATATTGATTATTAACTGTTTCCTATTGCTGTGTTCTCTTATTAATTATAAAGTGCTGGTTTAAGCTAAATTACTAGTCATATAAATTACTTACAATGTATTAAAAAAAAAAAAGGAAACCTTTGTTTGGAGAGGTACCTGACATACATAGAAGGTTTCTTATTAAAATCAGTGCCACAATCTTTGTGTCATCCTTGATTTCTCACTCCACATTTCTAGTCTGTTGACAAATCTTGGTTCTGCCTTCACAACATCTCTTCCATATGTCTACTTCTCTTCAGTCACACAGCAACTGCCCAAGTGCAGACACTGATCACCTATTGCCCAGACTGTTCTAATAGCTTTCTAGTTGGTCCTTCTACCTCAGGTCTCTCTTCACTCCAATCCATCCTCCATTCATTTGCCAAAGTAATTTTCCTAAAGGGTAATCCTGACCACATCACCTTCTTCCTCAGTAAACTCTAGTGGCTCCCTTTTACATCTGGACTCTGACATTTACAGTCTAATAACTTGGCCCTTTTTTACCTTTTTAGTCTTCTAATGTGTTACTCCCTCCATGCACTCTACAATCCAACTTCACTGTATTGTCTTAATTAGTATTCCTCACATAGAGGACTCCATCTTGCTTCTCTGGGCTGTCCCCTGTGCCTGGAGTGCTTTCCCCCCTCACCTCTACCTTTTAGTTTCCCTGACTTTCTTCAAGACTCAGCTCAAATCTCACCTTCTGTAGGAAGCCTTTCCTAGTCTCCTCAGCTGATGGCACTTTTCCCTCTCAAATTCCCTTCAGTCTGCTCTGTTTTTATCATGTATGTAACTAGTTATTTACATGTTGTCTTTCTCATTAGAATGTTAGCTCCTTGAGGACAGGGATTGTTTTTGCCTTTCTTTTCTTCCTCGTTGTTTAGGACAGTGCCTTTCACATAGTTCAAGCTTAATAAATGGTTGACTGAAATGAAATTTGAGCAAAAGAGAGTGACTTGGAATTTAGAAACTTCTGATTTCTAACTGGACTTGTCTTAACTAAGGTATCTAATCCAAATCCTAATTTGAAATGTATTTGCTTTTAAAAATACAGTGACTTTGTATGCCTCATTTAATTAGCATTACCATGTACCTTTACAGTGACTGTACTTTCTCTTTCTCTAGGAGACTGAAGCTTCAGATTTGTTTTTGCATGATGATGATGATGAAGATGAAGATGAATATGAATCTCGTTCTTGGCGAAGATGAAATCTGATGGGAGCTGTATAGTTTTAGGAATTTTGTTTAGAAGAACAACTTTTAAAAATTATTTAAAGACGTCATTGAGCCAAAAATTTTTATTTTTTTTTCTTTTCAACATAGGTTTAAAGACAGCAAGTTTGCTATTTAAACACATCTCATAACTGTATGTGATATTAAAGCAGCCAAAGGCCTAGTGACTTTTACACAATTCTGAAGATCCACAAGAGTCATATGGGTGTTCTCTAGAGCCTTATTTTCTACACCACCTATTTTCGATGGTGTGGGATTATGATGTAGATGACAGGGTGTTTAGAAATTTTATTTTGTAATATAATCTGCTGATAAAATTTCATTAAATGTCAAAGTAGCCTGGAATCTCGTAACTCTCAGATATTATGGATGGGGTCGTCACACTATGGGAGATATTTTTGACTAAACCTTGTTTTAAGATTCATCTTGAAAGAAAAATACAATTTGTTTTAATTTTTTAATATGGAGGAGTCTGGCTTGTATTCAGTCTGAATTTTTTTCAGAGTTTTTATATGAACATAAATTGTACGATACATATAATATAATCTTCCACAATACTATTTCAATGTAAATTACATCAAATCCTGTATGTTCTCTAAACTGTTATGTGACATTGCTAGCTCCATTGATGTTTCCATTCTGTCATTTTTCACTCTCATCTGAACTCTCCCAGGTTCAGACTCAGTTCACTTTGCTTTTATTACTTTGTCAGTATTGGTTCAATCCCTGCTTTTTAAAAATTCTCCAAATCTGAGACAGTTGTGCCCATTGCTCTTTTATTTTTTTCTCCCTTTCCTCCCTCCCCTTCTTTCCCTGCACCTGAATCAGTAGGCCAAACGTGCACAGTATTGAGAGAAGCTCATCATCTGATTCATGAAAGGCTGATTCTTCCTTAATAAAAAGGCTTTGAATTAAACCAGCACTTGGAACAGTTAAGGAAGGTTTTCATGGGCATGGCAAAGGTTTTCAACCTGTTTGTTGGAATGCTATTTAAAGTTGCAGTTTAGTTTTAGGTAACCTAAAAGGTTTAATGTATCTCAAAATTATCTTTTCCTGAATTTAAACCATGATGGAGAAGTTGGAGTGGTGGGTGGGGTTGACAATAACAAATTATATAAATGGAAGGTAGTAACTTGGCTTTGAATAGAAAATGATGCATTATCATAATTTTGTGGCTTTCATTGTCCATGGACATACATGCATCGTTTAATAGGCAGTTTTCTTCACTGTGTGCATTTTTACTGTACACTTATATAGAGTAGATTCTATCTGTTAAGTAAAATATATATGTAAATTTAATGTCCTTGTGTTCTGAATGTTAGATGGAACAGTAGAGGAGCGACACTACACTGTATCAACCCCTGGAGAAATTAACCGTGCTTAATATAAATGGAGTATGTCACTCAAGAATATGCACACCTGCATTTATCTATGGTTCTCATTCATTTATGTGATGTGAACATTTTTGAAACTTCTTGTTGACTTTAGAAGGTTCTTGGTGTTCACTTTTATCAGGGATTATGTTTTCCTGTGGCATATACTATTCCTCAGAGCAAAAATAGTCAAGTAAAGAACTTAAAACCAACAGGATTCTAGATTTACTTAGCCATAAGAAGTTAAATCCCATATCTGTATCATCTGTGTCTCCTTCACATCCCATTTTCCTGCAGTGGCATGTGAAATCAGGATCCCTTTTAAGTTTTTGTAACTTTACCTTCCTAATGAGGACTTCTCTTTCTAGGTTATTATTGTATTTCTACTAACCTTAAGGCTAAAATGACCTTATGAAAGAATGAAAATACTAGAATGGGGTACCTAGAATAAGCAATCTTGCTCCTCTCCCATCACCTCTAATGACATTTTCTTAATGTCTGTGGCTCAGTCAGTATATATTTTGAAAGATCCATTATTGTGAATGTTTTGAGTCCTGACAGTTTAAAAATGATAGAGGGAACAAAGGATTTATATATTTTTTGTATAAAGTTTTTCTTAAACTGTATAATTTTGTAAATAGTTTGGTTTTTTTGTGTACTAAAACTACCAGCGTATAGATTTCAATAAGAATTGTTGTATTTTTGTATTTGGAAACTGAAGATTACAGTAAATTAATGGAGCTGTAAGAAAAATTTCGGTAGACTGGCACAGTTCAATAGAATGGGATTCCTTTTCATATGATTTTTTTTTTTAACCTCTAAACTGACACCTTGAAATCTCAGTTCAGAGAGTGAGAGATGAGGGATGTGTTTGGGTTTTTACTTAGTGGGGGACAAAGAAAAGAAAAATGAGAGGGTTAAAGTGAAGAACAGAAACTTTCTTTAGTCAGATGTAAAACCTTTGTATAAACCTTTTCAGCACACCCTACTATTTCCAGAATATTCAAGCATCCTGAAAATAATTTCTGAGGATTTTAGAAAAGATTTGAGCCTCTCAAATGAATTCAAATACAAGCTGTTTATATTATTAGAAAATTGAAGTGATGATTTAGCATAAAGTAGCTTAAACATTTTCCTATATAAGATTTTTTTTTCAAAATCCTAGAGGTTTTTTTTTTAAAGTGGGTAACTACTGTGACTAATTTTTCTCTTGTTGGTAGCTTCATTTTATGAAATAACGTACAGCCTTTATAGTATATTCTATTGTTCTTCATAATGCGCATGACATCTTTATAAGCAGCTGATCACTAAAAGAAAATGATACCACCCTACTTGTTCAGTTTAGTTTACCAATGGGTTGCTTCCCATGCTCAAGATTCAACCCAGGGATGAATAGAATTTCCCTCAATTTCTTCATGTTATAATTTTAAGACAAAAATTTTCAACAGCTGAAATAAATTGGAAAACATTGTACTGTTAAGATGAAATAGGTAATGACAGCGACCGGTCATTCGTACAAAAAGAAGAAAAAAATCATGTGAAAAGGAATCGTGGTTCCTCTTGATGTATAGGATGCCTGTATTATAGTTTTTTTTCAAAATTGTGACCTTGTGTAATAGCATAATAGGAGATATTGTTGGATTTCTAACTGTTTATACATTTAAATTCCTATATGTAATGTTTGTTTTACTGATTACAACCTGAATTTCTAAGAAGCATGTTGACTTTTGCAATAAAGATACAATATGGAATGGTTCAAAATTGGAAGAAAAAAAGGCTAAAAAAAAGTTGGTAATTTAAAAGAATTTGGAAAATTTAAGAACCATTCCAAAAATTACAGTGAATCACAAAAAGAGCTGTAACTCTGGCTTCTTCTGGAAAGAGAGAGAGAGAGAATGTGTGTGTTTGTGTGTCTGTGTATATGTGCACATGTGGGTGCATCTGTGAATGTGTTTATATGAGACTGTGCTATGGATGGGTGAGGGTTGTACTCGGAGCTAGTGGCAAATGCTGAATTTAAGAGCTTGTCTTCTTCATCTCTTTCAAGTGCACTTACTCATAAATAACCTTTAAAAGAAAAAAAGCGTCGTTAAGTGTTCACTTTTCTTCACTTGTAGATTTAGATAGCTCAAATATATAGCATAGTAATACATCCATCAGCTACATTTATGAAACAAAAACTATGAAAGTGCCTTGATTGCTGTCCACTGTGCCTTTCAAAAATAGACTCCATAGACCATATAAAAAGTGAGAGAGTAGCTTGAAAGTATTATCTAAAAGATTTGATTTAATTTTATTTTTCATGTTGATAAGGTATCAATAGCAGTAACATTTTACCTCACCATCTGGGAACTGGGGAGCAATATGGTTGTCATGATTTGAGTTGTTTTCTCAGTTTTTAAAAATGTGTGTTTTTTCAAATTCCTATAACTGATGTGCCTTCAGAAAGAAGGGAACAGAGAAAAAGCCTTAATCTACAAATAAGTAAATCAGGTGGAAAATGAATAAAGAAAATAAGCAATGCTTAAAAGCATAAATACTTTTCATTTTATTTTCTTTTTTTAATTTAAAATGCCATCTTTATGGAATCTTGGAAATTCGGACTTGATAAATGGGACCCATACTGTTCAAGATTTAAATTAACTTCAATGTAAAAGTAGGTATTGAAACATGATTCCTGGATATGCCCTCTGATCTATAGTAAACAGGTGATGTGTTTAAGGAGGGCTTGGATTTTAAGAATGAAAGAATTACGGTGTTCTTAATTCTTAGACCAACATTTCCTTTTGTGTTACTAATGAAATAGAAGTAGACCAAACTGACTTGTTTTCTACTGTACTTAGTGATAGGAAATAAGCTGCCTTACCCCATCTTGCAGTAACTCCTAAGTACCTAATAAATGCTTGTTGACTGACTAACTATTGAAGGGAAAAAAAGGCAAATTTGTTTTATTGCTGGTTGTTTACCTTCCTACAGGATCATCTACCATTTGGCTTCCTAACTAGTACCGCAGTCCACCTTAGGTTAACTAATCCATTCCAGCCTTTTGAGTAAGGCTACCTGATACAGGTGAGACTAAGAGCAAGATGATTCCTGAGAATTAGTGAGCCATTTGGAGCTAGCATCTGGTCTTTTCTTAATCTAAGCAAACTTAGAAGTTGTATGTATTCCTTTCCCCCTATTTATTGATGATCCTCTTTCCATCTTTAAAAGTGGATCAAGAAGGAGGCCTATTTCATGTTATGTCCCTCTGTTCAGTTGTTTTTCAGTCGTGTCTGACCCTTTGTGACCCCATTTGGGGTTTTCTTGGCAAAGGTACTGGAGTGGCTTGCCATTTCCTTCTCCAGCTCATTTTATAGATGAGGAACTTAGGCAAACAGGGCTAAAGTGACTTGTCCAGGGTCACACAGCTAGTGTGTCTTAGGCCACATTTGAACTCGGGAAGCTGAAACTCCCTAACTTCTGGCCCAGCACTCTATCCCCTGCACCACCTTGATGTCCTAATCGTTTTTAAAAGTGGATCAAAGAAAGTTTAGCTAAAGAAATCATAGACATGTAGTGATATATTTTTCAGTTATAATTGCTTTGTTTGGGATGAAAAATAAGCATTTTTTCTTTCACCAATGTTTTTAATTACCAATTTGTGAGTCACATGAATTACTGCTATCCTTTTATTCCATTATTAATAGTATATAAGCTAATACGTTAGCATAAATCTGATCAGAAATATGCTATTTTTCACAAATTTTGTATTATAACTTCTAACATGGGAGAAATCATTGAACTTTTCTGCCACTTTTCTGTTGGCCAAAGTGAATTTTAGCCACACCTACTTTGTGGATATTACATAGGTGAATTTTTATCTATAAGGTGTTTGGAGATGCTCAGGAGTAAGTGATTTGTAAATTAAAGGGGAAGGTTTGAGAAATTGGATTAGAAATGTGTTTGGCATTTTTAAGACTCTTAAAAATTTCTTAAACCCATTTTTGGATTACTTTGTGTTTCTTGGTTAACTTTGCTAGAAGGAATCATTGCAATTGTCATAAGTGATTTCATGTGGTTTTTGGAAGGGTTATAAAGAGATTGGT